GCGTTTTCCGAGATGATCAGAGCAAAATTATAGAAGAAGAAAAAATGTGTACAAAAATAAAAACATACACAAACACTACATAGTAAAACGAATACATTTCTCACTACATTCAGAATTCAAACAAAACGAATTATAATTGATTGAAAATTTATCGAATTTTGTATTAATATATGTTTTATTATTAATATTGTGTGTAACAAAATAGTGGTAGTATAAAACAAATTTTATTTCAACACTCGCAAAAATTATTTTTCTTTATTTTCTTCAACAATATTAAAAATAATTACTCAATAAAATTCAACTTTGGAAAAAAAGTTCTACCCGTTCTGAATATTCAGTTCAAATTATTTATATCTTTTATAATATAGAATGGTTTTTTTTTTCAAAATCTAGTGTTTCATTCATAATAATATGGTTTAAAACTTTATTATAATAGGATTAAAATGATGTACCATTTTGTATAAAACATTTATAAATATATATATATATATATATAAATATTTATTTTATATAAAATAAATAAAAAATTATTTTAGAAAATAATTGTATTGAAACTTATTTGTATGGTCTGTGTGCACCTCTAATCCGGATTTCGGATATTCAACTACTCTTTAAAGCTGGCTTGAAAGAACATTTTTTTTTTATTTCTGAGTTATCTTAGTGACACGTGTGTAATAAAAGAAAATTAGAGGAAACACCGCTGAAAGATCGTTTGTCCTTCATATTTACCTCTCAGCACTAAAAGACTACAATAATCAATTTCACTATCTCCCAACTACCATCAAACCTATAACGACATGCTTAATATTATATTGTGAAACGACAATCACATAAAACAAACAAATCTGAGTACTTCGTAAATTCGATATCGTTGTGAATTCTTGAAAGGTTGAATCTTTGATTGGTAGAACCATCACTTCCTACATTATCCATAGTTTCAACACTAGATGAAGTGGGAGGGGTCAATCTACCAGCACTATTATATCTCCAGTGACTCCTTCACACATGACATTTATTCAAACCATATAAACTATTCTTTCGACAATTTACGCCCAAAATATTAACTTTAAAATATACCTATTATTATTTTATACAGCAATAAATCATTGCAAATGAAAAATGATTTTAAGTGAAGTAATACTGGTAGTATTTTTCTCTAGTTATTCTTGTAAAATCAAAAAAATCGAACAAAAAAAAGACCTACATGGGGGATGAATTGCTAAAAATTATTTAATACAAATTTCCTTTAAAGTATAGACATGCAAAAATTTCACATCTTTTAAAATAAGACTTAAAAAATTGGAAAATTTGTTTAACTATAAAAATGTATTATAAAAAAAAAAAAAAAAATACATAAAAAGCAATTATTTTGAACAAATGTTTGAATTTCGAAATATTTTTCAAATAACCTTAATACAATCAAACGAAAAAAAATTCGAATCTTTAAAGGTATACAACGTGAAAAAATTATTTTTAGGTAGGTAATACTGTGATCATTTTATTTATATTAGTTTGGCTATCTGCTAATTATGATATTATTAACATTATAATAAACAACGAGTTTGTTGAGTTTGTAACCGATAGGTATAATACAACTTCCGAGTGAGTACAACGCAGTTTCTACATCACCATAATGTCCCCGTATAGCGATACATCATTTAGACAATTTACGTATGCCGTTTGATGGATCGGTCGCTAAAATAATTGCGTATACCTACACACAAATTATCACAGTGAATAATACAAATCGATGTAAATTTGTTGGGTTGGTACGCGATCGCAATACTGAGGTGATCTCAACCAATTTTTTTTTTTTTCATCTGGGTGTACTGTACTATACTTATTTATGTATAATATAATATCGTACAAACTGATCCCACACGGCTTCGCCCGTGCATATTATTGAATGAAAACACATTTATAATAATACCGTTATCAATAAACGATCGCCCAATTTTTTAAATGTTATCAAATTATTTACGAGAATAAACGTTTTAAATTTATAATTATTGTCAATTTTCAATGGTAAATAATTACATAAAAAAATTTTATATGAAAAATGTAATGCTTCGACCTACCATATGCAAAGTAAACGTGTTTATAAATTCATGCATCTCTAAATTTTTTTAAATCACACTACAGGAAATATCTCAATTTTTGTCTGGCTTTTTTTGGTGAAAAAATATAGTGTTTCCAATCCTTTTCGGGAATCAAATTATGGAAGGGAAGCATAATGAACATTAAATACAAGTTGTTAACGTATTTTAAGTGTTTTAACATTATTTTGGTGATACCGACCGCCAAATAAAAATATACCTCATTCTAGAATTCTATAACTCGAGATACTTTTTTACTAATTTAGGTTAACCGGAAAAAATGTCAAAAAAACTGGAATACTTCTGTTATTTTCGATTTTGTTTTTTTATAGCTGCTTAAGTTTTAAGTAATCGTAATTTTCGAAAATTGTTTACTTTATTTTTAATGTCCATTTGATTTTATATGAACAAAATTGTTTAGGTATCGCAAAAATACTAAAAAATTTGAAACTAAAACACATTATAATTATTGTATTTTATATTTTATTTTAAATTAATACATTCTTCAATTTAACTAAACTTTGATCATAATCATTTTTCGTTTGCAATGATTTAAATCACTCTTTATACTTCCTTTTTGACTTTTTTTGGTATGGATTTTATTAAAATTATATATCTGAACTTTCTGCTTACGAAGAAGAATACAAAATTCAAGCTAAATATTTTGAGTTCTTATTTAATATTTGATCATGTTGTACATTGTTCCTACTTCGAACAAAGGTAAATACGTTGAATACTTTATAAGGTAGAAAAAAAAATAATAACATGGAAAAAAATAAGGGTCATAGTTTGATACACCTTGTATATTTATATATTTTTAGGCACTCGAAAGTATGTGCATTGTGCAACATAAAAAATTATATACTTTATGAAAAAAATAACTAAAATTGTTTTTTTTCATGAATTAATGCAATAATATCATTTAAATATATTTATGTAAACTAGCGTAGACGAGCAATTTAACTAACTAGGATTTATTTGTTAATAATTTGTTCACGTACTTGACATTGTTTATGTTAATTTTGTTGACGCATAATATCTCAAGGCTTGATAAAAATTCGTTAAAGCTTCCGACCGTAAATGAAATTAAAATAATAATAAAACGTAAAACTACATTAATGTTTTGCTAAAAACAGAATATGATTTTAATTAAAAATTTTATTTAGAAAGTTTTAATGGTTATTTTTAAATTTTATTTTATTCCGTCTATATTTTGACTAAAGTTTACATTAAACTTATAGGTGTATAATAGACTAATTTTAGTAGACTATTTTTTTTGTAAAATATGTAAATGAATGAAGTTTGCCAGCTGAAAATTATTGTTCCTGTACAACAAAAAAAGCCGATACACACTGTAGCTGCTACTACTGTTATGGGTGTGTCACTTCTGTATACGGGAAGATAAAAGGTAGAATGTATAGAGTTATGTTATTTATATTTGAAAGCAAATATACAATGATAAACCATTTCAAATGAAATACGATTATGAGCGAAGTTTATAAAATATTCGTCAAAATGTTAACAAACAAAAAACTACTTTATTGCCTTAACTATTTTTTTATCACTGATTATAACTTTTAAGTCTTCTCCGGTCAAAAAATTGTATCCACAAAGTACCTATCAAAGAATAACTACGTAAAAAACCTAGAAAATGTCAAATGCACATAACTCATAAATCAACAGATTTTTAAATATAACCATAGAGTTCTTATATGTTCAAAGAAAACTTATATTAACCTTTTAAAAACGCAGTACAATTTTATAAACTATCAGGTACTATTTATGGACGTTTAACATTTTTGAGATTTTCAAAATAAAGATTAGGTTCATTATCTAAATCATTTAACTATATCTAAAATAAGTCAGAAAATAATTATTAATATAACATTTAAACCATTTCGTTTTATTTATTTCACTTATTTTCGATTTCAAGTGTAGCAAGAACTATAATGTTGATTATTATTATTTTTTTAAAAATTAAAAATTTCACCAGAAATTTTACTTCGATAAATACGTGCGACACTTTTTCTGAAAGGAAATATTGACTAGATAGGAATTTAGAGAAGTTATATTTTTATTTCTTACGTGGTTTTTATAATATCTGAGAAAAACCAAAATAAAACGTAAGAAAAACGGGAAATTTACGAAAATAATGTTTTTATTATTTTCAGTTTTATTATTTGTTGTAATTCAGTTTAAAATATTCGTAGAAATTTAAAATTAAAACAAAAAATTTATATTTGTCTTTTCTAGCTATGGTAAAATTTTCAATAAATTTAAGCTATTTTTGAGCTATTTATAGGCATTTTAATTTTGCTTGTTTTACACGTAATTTTTATTCGGTAGGAGCTCTGTAGTAAAATTGTTAGATTTTAACAGGTGGAAATTTTACAGGTGGTTCATTAAGCCGTACTTTGTGATAAAAAAAAAAAAATAAGCTTACAGTTAATAATTTTATTTTTAATTTTTTTTTTTTTTTTGACGATGTATTTTAAGTAAAAAATGATGTAAACCAATAACCTACTTACTGGTCCATGCAATTTTTTAAACATAATATGAAGATACATTGTAAATTTAAGAACAATATTAAAATCAGAATTGAGCGGACTCACTTAGTTTCAAAATTACAGCTTTTTTAAGTTCCGATATTATGCGGATATTAAATATCATGTTAAATAACTCTATATTGTAAATTTTAAAATATATCTGTCATAGTCTAGTGGCGTGAACTTATATCTACATAATATACTTTAAGGAAGTAATTTTTTGATTTTCTCAGGAGTTTTCAAAATAAATGGAAAAAACATTGGATAAACCAAGAAAAAACGGAAAAATAAATACAATACTAAACACATATTATTAAAGAAAATATATTTGCATATATCATGCATATGTAATTATTTTACCATAATGTGACATATAAATTGTTAACAAAACAACAATATTAACCAAATTCCACTCAGAATGGTTTTTTGTCATTCATGGTTAATCGTTGCCTACAGATATGCATTCAATTTCCCCTCTATATTCCCAATCACAACTACAACAGTGGCCAACCCAGGTGCGAAGTATATCCTTTTTTTCATAACGTTATATACATTTTAAATTTATTTTAATAAGCATATATATATTATTATATACAATGAAATCTTTATTTGAACAGTGAATAATGAAGTAGGTCAATTTATTATCGAAATAGTAAATTAATTAAAAACAATTACTTACTAAGGTATAACTAGTTATTTGATTCAATAATAAGTTAAGGGTAGATTGAATTATAAATTACTCACAAAAATATGTAAATTAAATTTGATCTTATTTACCAGGGTAGACGTTGACACATATGACACTATTTTCAAATTCAATATTTTCCTACTTAATAAAATCCTAAATACGCCACAGTCTCCTATAAATAGATACTTGTCAAACTGTTTTTCTAACTATTTTTCTTAAACGTAATCTTTATTTCCTTTTTGTTTTCCTCCACCTTTTCACTTCAACGTAATCTTTTGTTTATTCCATTCATTTCCTTTACGGAATCACTTTCACTCTATTTATGTACCTACCTTATATTATAATATTATATTCTTCAATTGTCTACCCTATAATGTATAACAAAAAAACCATCCATGAAAAAAACTAAATTTTTCCTCTTAAATATGATTGTAGGTATTTTCAATTTTCGCTGAATTTATTTTATACTTAGTTAAGTGGAAGCCATAAATATTTATATTATAAAGTTCTCGATAAAAAAAAAATAATAATAATAATGTGGTTTTGTTCCGTAAAGAGGAAAATGGTTGCATTTTTATAACATGCAGATTACAACATTAACTTTAGATTTCTTTTTTTTTTCGTGCTAGTTAAATGTTAAAAATAATAAATTATCTAAAATAATAATAAATATAAAATAACAATACAATAATAAAATAAATAAATACAATTTTTGTATGTTCCGGCAATGTCATAATTAGTGTGTTTTAACAGTATATTCAAAGATTTCCAGATTTAGCATTTGTTCTCATAATCAGTTAGGATTTCCCTTGGTTACAGCCATATTTGTAATCGAGATTTGTTTCCATTTTTCATTTCTTTTGTTATGAGTAACTTAATAGCTTAATAGCTTTATTTAATTTAATAGTTCCTTTTAAAAAAAACCCTAATATGGCTTTAATCTATGTTTTAGAATTTGTGATCCGTGCACAACATAATAACTATGTAAAAAAAGGAAAATTTACGAAATTAATGCTTTTATTATTTTCATTTTGATTTTCTGTAGTAATTCAGTTAAAATTATTTTTTAGAAACTTGAAATTATGACAGGAAACTTATTTTTGTTATTTCTAGACGTGGTATAATTTTCAAATCATTTTAGCCATTTTATTGATTATAAGTTTTACTTAGTGATCAATAAAAAAAAGTTGAGTTTCATAGAGTTTTTTTTTTATAAGAATTTCAGAATTAAATTTTGACGAAATGCCTAACCTAAGAAAATATTACGGCTTTTTAAAAAATGTGCAATCGAACTCTGCTCAGAATCGGTTTTAGTTAGCAGTGATTAATGGTTCCATAAAAATATACATTAAGTTCCTCTCTATATACTACCTTCCCAACTTCTCACCTACAACAGTGGCTCATCCATTGTTCGAAATATATCAGTTTTTTTTTAATTTAATTTATTATTTCGTGTTTTTTTTTTTAAAACCTAAATAAAACTACAATATTTATTTGCATACCCATATATCACTTATCGATCACTGCTGCAGTATTGACACATGTGTGTGATACATACTGTGTGGTCTATAATAATAACGAATTACTTACAAATAGGAACGACCGGCCAATTTAATTAAAAGTTATGGACACAACACAGAGGGTCAATGCTATTTAACGTAATATGTAGATAGGTACCTAACCTATACACTTACTCTCATTTAACGCTGTTAACACAGTGGCCTAATCAAAAATACCTAAGGGGATCTACAAAACTTTTGTTGACGAAGAAGATATTATTACAAATAAAAAGCCGTTGACGACATGATATTATAAAAATAATCGTAGTTTTTTTTTTTTGTAAATTCGCACATTAATTCATAAACTTACTGTCTTAAATTATAAAATTAAATACACATATCTCATATACTATTTTAAATTTTTTAAAACAAAAGGAAAATTAGTAATATAAAACGTTGAATTTAATCCTGTAACAGTTTTAAACTTAAGTTTTTTTTATAACTAAATGTTTTGAATAATTACCTATAAAATACTTAGTTCATACCTAGTAATACCTAATAATTACTTGGTAAATATTTTCCCGAATAATGAGTTTCTTATGTCATGTTGATTACCTTTATATAACAAACACAATACAGGGCAATAGTTTCTATTTTCGGAGGAAATTCAACAATAATAGATCTTATAGATTAAGCTTTACCTATAATATATTTGTTATGAAAAGGTTAACTATATTAGCCTGTGGTGCTCAGAGCAATAAATTATATAGTTTTAGTTTAAACATAGGGTCTTCGTGTTAATAACCTATTTGGTATTATTCCAAAATAGTAAGTTATACTCTATGTATAATATATACCTATAGTTAATTACAGTTATATTATAATATAACGTACCTGTATCGTGTTGAACGGCTGGTTTCAGAAAAGAATTAAAATATTGTTATTAAATATGAAAGGTTTTAAAAAAAAATAAAAAATAGTAATTTTTCGAGCATTTTATCATCAGAGTAGTAATAGTAGCAAAAACCACTCCTGAAGTTAATGATTAAAGCCAAAATTCCGTCCAAAAGTTTTTTACAAGCAAAAAAAACTCATCATATTACACTAAATTTCAAAATTATAAAAATAATATTATTATCATATACTATTATAATACTATACTACATGTTTTCATCACGTGTACTTTAATACATGAAATATAATTTAAAGTTCGGTACCTATTTTATTTCTTAACCTCGTAGATAGGTGAAGTTACTTAATACTTTTTAATAATATGTGTGCATCATGTAATGGAGGTTTTGTTTGCTCCCTCTCCATCTCGTTATAATGTATATAAAAGTAAACATGCGGTATAAAAGAGATTACGTACATTACATATTTTGTGGGTATTGCGTGCAGGATAAAACTAAGACTCGAAATATAATATTATTATATTTTATCATAATATTATGTTATCAAAATTATTACTATATAACTTCTTTCTTTATGATATATCTGCATAATATTTTCACAACAATAATGTAATACTAATATCATTAATACAATGTCGTGGTGTGTGTTCAATGATAATTCATAGCACTTATTGTCCTTGATAAAAAAAAACATCACGTATACTCAAAATATTTATCTAATTACATATTATAATAATTCGTTGATGTTTTCCCGATAGTAATTAATGCATTCATAATATGAACATATTATATCGTAATTTAGTGATATTTAACTAATATTAACGCGAAAAATAAAATATAATCGTAATACACCAGAGTAAAATATAAAAAAAATTACAATTTCAAAATGTGAAAAAACCAACCTCCTTTTTAGGTTTAACCGAAACAAATATGATTATATTATTACATAGTTAATGCGGAGGAGAGTGTAATATTTTGATTCAAAAAACTGAAAAATATAATAAATGCGTAGGTACTAATTTTAATATTATTATATTTCAATATTTTTTCGCGTCTTTACTGTATTGACAGTGTTATTGACAAATAATTATAATGATATTTTGTTTTTGTTTTTCACAGTGTAACGCAGCGGTGGGTATGAAAGCATTTTTTGATATGATGCACGAAGGTCCGCACAAAGTAATGTTGTTTGGCGCTGCTTGTACCCAAGTGACGGATCCAATCGCAAAAGCGTCCAAACATTGGAGAATAACTCAGGTAGGTACTTGAGATAATAATGTTTTTTAAGTACTTCAAACAATATTGTCAAAAAAAAAAATCCTCAGTGGATATTATCAAATACAACCAGTAGGGGTTATCTGGGGGGAGAGGAGAAGATTATAATTGACTCAATGCAGATAAAAATTACATAACTATTTAACAAGCAAGATAAATAATCAACAAATTAACACCCTTTTTGTCTAGATAAAAAACGATAATATAATCTTTTTTGTTAGTTTCTATACAAAAACGATGTAGGTGGGAATTTGGAAAGGTAGGATACATAAAGTTATTTAATTAATATCTGTATACAAAGACAAACTATTGTTAACTATAAACAATTAAAACGAAGTTCTATAAGACATATTCTGAAATTCCGTAATTTTTAAGATTTTCATTAAATTTTGAATTTAAAATGCCTATAAAAAAAAAAAAAAAACTAATGCATTAAATTCAAGTTTATTTCTAAGACCACTAAGTACCTGTGTTAAATTTTCATATGCTGTATACCTAATAAATAAAAATATACATAAAAACACGAAAATATCAAATATCTACAAAAAGCCTTAAAAAATTAGAATATTTTGTGAATGTTAACAAGTCTATAATAGACATAAATATTTTATGAAAATTACAAGTCTTTAGGGTCTTATGGTTAATTTTTAACCGAATAACAACAAAATACCAAAATACCGTACATATTGCCGTATTTCCTACGTTTTTTCTTGGTTTTTCGTAATTATTAGGAAAACTATACAAAAATTCAAACAACTTTTCACTCACAAACAAGTCAAAATTTTATTTTAGAAAATATGTTTTTTTAAATATGGAAAAAGATTTCTGGTAAAAAAATATAATCTCAACGATTTTTAATAATGAAATTATTTTACTATAATTTGAAAAAATCCTATTTTAGATTTTGAGTGGAGTGAAGAAATTTATGGTTTTACAAAGACGTTTTTTTTTTTATCTGTGCGCTACATTTCTACCAGAATATCTTGTTCCGATTTTTAAGTGTAGCACCTTTTCCGAAAGGAAACCAGTGGAGGAGATACTTTAATCAGGTCATTTTTCGATTTTCTCAGGTGTTTGCCCAACAAATTAGAAAAACCGGAAAAAAAACGGAGGAAAACAGAAAAATGTACGAAATGTAGGTATTAGTTGATAAAGTTACAGACTTATTTTTCTTGTGAACAATTTTTTTACCTATAATTTTGCTCTAATTTATTACAATGATAGCATTTTATTCTAAAAGGAAATCAGACTAGAGAGGTACTTGAAGAAGGTAATGTTTTGATTTTCTCTAGTGAATGGGAAAAACCATAGGAAAAATGGAAAAATAGGTACAATATTAAACAAATTTAATTAAAGCAAATATATAAAGCCTATGTAATTATTTTACCATAATATGACAAATATTGTTGACAAAGAAACACTATCAACTGAACTCCTCTCGGAAACGTTTGTTCGTTAGCAATGGTGTATTGTTGCTTACAAGATATACATTAAATTTCCTTTCTACTATCTTCTTAACTTCTCACCTACAACAGTGGCTACACCCACGTGCGAAGTATTTTTCTTTTTTGGTTTTCTCTAATTATTATAAAAACTACTTTAGGTATCAAAAACTAACTTTTTTTATTAGTAGCTAGATTTTAAATGGAACAAAATCAATATTTTGTTATTTTTTGATCGGAAAAATATTTCTGTAAAAAATAATTTACGAAAATTAAAAATAATTAAATTGGTAACGCCTCAATGCGTCATAAATATTTGTCGTTTTACCTATAATTTACCTTCGGTTTTTTCAATTATTTTGAAAAAGCCATGGAAAATCAAAAAATAACCTCTAGAGCCACCAAAAGATAATTTGTTTTCAGAAAAAAAACAACACTCTACACATCGGAGCAAGATTTTTTTAAAAGCTATTTTCAGGTAGAAAAAAAAAGCATATATCATAGTGAAACTAATAGAACCCTCACTACGCTCCAAGATCTATTAAAGTTCTATAAAATATAGCTCTTAAAAAGATTGTTGTCTACTTAATAATTACTACCTAAATCTTTACATAATATTAGGTAATTAAATATTTTATTTATTCTTTCTAAAAAACATATTAATTAATACGATTTAAACAATTCGTCTATAAATAATTGTACTATTTATCTAGATATGGTAAAACTAACGAAATATACATATTATATTGCTTCATATTTCAACAGTTTTCTTTTTAAAATTTAGTTATTTTATTGAATACTATATTACTATTAATAACTTCTTTTTTTGATTATTATATTCAACTTTAAAATTTAAAACGAAACTAAACGTCCTTTAAATGTAACTTTTTTTATAGTTTTTAAACCGCGTTTACCTAAGTACATAATGAAATTATTACTTTTACTGAATATTTTTAGATTCTGAATGTAATGAAGAATGTATTAGTTTCACTAAAATATTTTTATTTTTTTTATTTTTTGTTATACTGTATACAAAAGTTCGAACATAAATCTTGCTCAAATATATACGCACGGCACGATTTCTGAAAGAAAATATTGTTCAGATGAAACTCTTAGGGAATATCTGGAAAAACCAGGATAAAACGAAAAAAGAAAAACAAGAAATTTACGAAAATAACGCTTTTATTATTTTTCAATTTTGTTATTTGTTATAATTCAGTTAAAAATATTCGTCGAGATTTAAAATTCGGACAAAAACTTATATTTGCCTTTTCTGGATGTGGGTTCTTCGTATGGGTGAAAGATGTGAAATAATATTGTTACTGCATAGTATGTATGATACGGATACGCAGCGGTTTGTTCGTCAATGAACATGTGTGTATCGTCCTATGTGTGTGTGTGTGTGTGTGTGCGTATGTGTGTATTTATTATATGGTCATCGTCGCGACACTTACGCATACATTATGTTTATGTTACATTTATGTTTAATATTGACCGGCAGCTACCTATCGCACGAGATTATTTTCTTTATTCACTTATTTAGCATCTACCTAACTTTTTTTACTTAATGTTTTACTACGATTATATAAAATTAATCACTTACCTACATTACTTGCACTACTTGAAGTTCGCAAGAAGTTCGTTACTCAAAATATAAGGAGCAGGTATAATGCTTAGGTTTCGATAAATTGCTACAATAAATACAAGTAGGTTTTTTTAATTGCTTTGTTACCAGGTCAACTATGTCAATAGATATGTATACAGACGTCGGGTCGCTAATAAGTGACGACTAGCGGGAGATGCATCCGTTTAGTGTAACGAATCGTTAGCCAACATATTATTGTGTAATTATTTTGCTTTAAAATGCTTGCTATAATACAAAATGTACAGACAATTGTTTATCCTGAGTGACGATCAAGACAGTCAGGCATAATATATTGTGTGTATGTTTATAATGTGTTATTAGAGAAATAAAATGACAGACACGTTTAATTTATGACAAAAAAAAAAAAGCTGACAATATGTACAACCACCAGGCACGAAGAAATGTGAATTAATCAAATACAGCAGCCCACCTATGGTATCTGCAACTGCCGTATAGATTTGGAAAGATGTAGATAGTAAGGATTTTGGATGAGCAAAATTATGTAGATATTATAACATGTTATGTTAAATAACTCTATATTGTCTCTTATAGCATATTTGTTGTAATCTCATGGTTATTTATGCCTATTATCATCCTAGGTGTTCCGAGTTCAAACCAGTGTGACGAAAAAAACTTTTTTATATTTTTTTTTCCTCTTACATACACAAAGAAAAAACAAATGCATTTTGGATATACCTACAGACGCAAGCCATCGTTTCCTCGGACTATTTTAATCATAAATTACCTCTCGATTTGTTGATTTACTGTGCAAACTTTTCTACCATAAATCTCACTCCTATGAATCAAGTGTAACTTATTTTCTGAAAGAAATTTTATCTCCATGGTAATTCAAAAAAGTTGTTTCCGATTTATCAAGCGGTTTTCATTATATCTGGGAAAAATCGGGATAAATGTCGGAAAAACGAAATATGTACGAAATTTTGGTATTAGTAAAAAAATATTATGGCCTTTTTTTCTGTGTACAAATTTTCTACCGACAATTTCATTCCGATTTAAAGTGATAGCACTTTTTTTGAACGAAAATCTGATTGGAAAGGTACTTTAGCAATAGCTGTTTTAATTTCTAGAAAAAAGTATTAAAACAATTAATATTCAATAAACTACTGCTTCGATAAGGATTTTTTTCCAAATCGATGTCCCCTTCAAAGGCAAATCAATTAAAAAAAAAAATTTTAAATATTTAATATTAACAGCTTTAGAAAAATACATCGAACATAGTGGAACACTCTGTATAATATCAAAACGGAAATTAAATTGTATTAAAACTTGCCGCTTACGCATACGACTCAAACAGAATAAGTACAAAAAATTGATGGTGTATTCTAAAATAACTTTATTATTATTGGAATAAATGAAAATAAAATCTGCTTCAGGTCAATAATAATGAATCTAAATGATAAATCCAAATACTACTGACTCACCAATCCCTGTATTTCAAAACTACTCAACGTACGTAATTTAAATTTGGAATAGTGGTTCCTTTAAAACTTTCACCATGCAATAAGAAAAGATTTTTTAAAATTCAATCCCTAAGGGGGTAACATAGGGGTTTCAGTTATATTTGGTATGAATATCGAATTGCTTATTTGTTATTTTTTGTTTATTTTTATTGGTTACAATGGTGTTACAGAAAAGAAAACTATTAATTATTATTATTATTATTATAACTACTATTATTTGCACTATTAAAATTTCACAATAAAACAGATTTAGTCCGCTGATGGTGGACTACTCACTTTCCACCTATTTATTTTCATTCAATTTTGACACGGCCAAAACCAAAAATTAATTTGGGTAAAATAATAATAATACAAATTGGCACGAGCGATGCCGGGCGCAAAATAGCTAGTATATCTATAATATGTATTACAAATATTTAACACTATATTGCCAATCGATATTTTATAATATACCTACGTCGCGTATATATAAATTTATTGCGGACCTTAGATTTAAAGCTGCATTATTGACGAGCCGTCTCGGTCGGGATTTCCAAAGAATACTGTATAACCGCAAATCTCTTTACATCTATGAACTGCTGTGGAAAGAAATAAACTATGTGACTCAATATTCCTCGAGATTAGGATCCCAAGCTATATCACGTCAAACGCAGATGTTTAAAATCAGATAATCGCAATAATATATATTCAATACGTGTGTAGTTTAAAAAGAATAAAAACAAATAGGTTATATCAATGTTTTTTTGTTTTTATAAATATTAATAACATGTAACGCTTACAAATTAATCTGACATTAGGTACCCACTAAACATTGATATTACAATATGTTCTAGAAACATACACATTGTTTTATACGATCAATTTCACAACGTAATGTGCACACAATGTATTCGTTTTGTTTTAGATTCGGAGCGTAGTGAGGAATCTATTGGTTTTACTATAATGTATGTTTTGTATTTTATTTTTTTTCTATGTACAACTTTTTACCAAAAATCTTGTTCCATTGAAGCAAAGAGTATATTTTCGTAGTTTTATTGGATGATTAAAACATTTTTAGAAAACAACATTTTAAGAAAATAACACATATTCAAACTCTATTTTTATGTGTTATAGGCTGAGATACGTTATATTGACCCAAAGTTTTGATATAAATATTTAAATTTTCAAATATTTCATGGGTTAACCAATAACCATGAGTTTATCATCTTAATATATGGCCTCTAACTCATAAGGGACTTTAGGACTCTATCATACAGGCGTTTATTTAATAATAATTATTTATGGGTAATGGGTATGTATTACCTACTTATAGAATAATATTATTTTAAATATTAAGTTGTTGACATGAATTTTTTTTACAGTTATCTTACGCAGATACTCATCCAATGTTCAGCAATACGGATTTTCCAAATTTTTTTCGAGTTGTGCCCAGTGAAAATGCATTTAACGCTCCACGACTAGCATTGCTCAGACATTTCAATTGGACCAGAGTGGGCACAATTTACCAGAACGAGCCAAGATACGCTTTAGTAAGTCCCAAAAGATTATTAAATTATACACCTTATGATATAAATAATAATATTTAAAGGTAAAATTTACCTATAATTTAATAATATTTATTATAATGCATTATTAATGATTTATTTACTATACCTACTTAAAATTATCTTTACTATAGACTATAGGTTAAACTTAAACTATTAACTATGTATTATAACTTTAACTATATACTTATATTAGTTTTACCTAATTTTAATGTTTGACAAATAGTTAAAATTTTCAAAAAAAAATAAAATCAATGTAGATTAAATTATTTAAAAATCACTGTCTTAAAATAATTTTTTAAAAACAACCAACTATGAACAATAAATGATTATCTATTTAAAAGTCTCTAATGTTTCTGTTAAATGTACCTATTTATGAATAAATTGTAAGTAAATAGTAATGCGATAGTTTTTGTATAATATGATTTATCGTGGTTTACAAACAATTCCTGATGTTAAACAAAGATGGAACACTTTTTTAGGTGAAAAGTTGGGAAGGTAAAATATATAGAAGAATTTAATATATTTGTTTAAGCGACGATTAATTATTGCTAACGAATACCGATTCTAAGCAAAGTCCGATGATGCGTGTTTTAAAAGTCCATAATATACGATTTTCGTCAAAATTTGATATTAAAATTATAATAAAAAAAAGAATTCAAAATAGGTACTACATTAAATTCAATTTATTTTTGTTGACCGCTAAGTACAACTTATAATAAACGTCCTGTTTAATTTTCAAGCATTTCTGTTTGGTCTAACAATTTTATCCGCAGATTATCGAATAAATATTACGTAAAAAAAATTAGCAAAATCAAATTGCCTATAAATAGCTCAAAAATAGCTAAAATATTGTCAAAATTTGACCACGTTCATAAAAGGCAAATTTAAGATTTCTGTTTAAATTTCAAACATTTCAAACTAAATAACAATAAAAAAAAATAAAACTGAAAATAATAAAAGCATTATCTACGTAAATTTTACCAGTTTTCCTATGTTTTTTCCAAATTATTTTGAAAACTACTTGGAAAATCAAAAAATGACTCGACGAATAACCTACTACGCTAGAAACATTTGCTTTCGGAAAAGATGTTACACTTAAAAATTGGAGCAAAATTTCTGGTACAATTTTAGTACACGATATATTAAAAAAAATAAACATAATTTTAAAACCAATTTATTCCTCGCTTTGCTTTATATTTCACTATATATTGTTGAAAAAACATCACTATCAACTAAACTCCGCTCAGAATCGTTCTTTTTAATTAATGATTTATCGTTGCTTACAGATACAGAAATTAATTTGTATTCATTTTTCCTTAATATACTACCTTCTCAAGTTTTCACCAACAACAAACACAAGATTCGATTATTATCCATGCAAACTTTGAGTAAGATTGATTTCGGTATTTTTTTAATCAATAATCATTTTTTTTTATTTTTAAATAGCAACCCCCACGTCTTTTTGAAAATAATATTATAAATTTACGATATTTGAGCTGACTTAAACCAGACGAATGGAGAAGGATTATAATACTACACTGGTTTAAATTTTAAACTGATATATTATAATACATATAACTCAAAAACAGTTCGATATTAGTGTTATTCATAACGATATTTGTAGAATTCTCCATTCGAATCTGTATTAAAAGTGGTTAAAATGTTAAAGATTTAATATCAAAATTTAATGCTCATTTAACGTATGTTTAGCTGAAACAATTCCATAGTGATTGATAATAAAATGAAAAAAAAAAAATCAAATTTACACAAAATTATCAGAAATAATTACTGGATTATCATAAAAAATACACCCTGTACATTTAGGTGACAGACTATAATGAAATTATAATATATGTATTATGTACGCATAATACTGACAGTAGGTATATATTACAATCATTTAATATACGCGATTAATAACCTACGAGTTCCCGAATGTATTTATAAATACATGCCGTCACATATTTCATTATACCATTTTAAAATAATAATATTTAATGTGAATATCACTATCTCGTCGGAATGATATTTCTTGACACGTCAGTGCGACAATGACGGAAACTTTGCAGCGTCATAAAACGAACGAATGCAACGTGTATATTATATTCATTAGTTTCCTTTGCGCAAAGAGATCGGATTTAAACGGATTAATTCATCCCGCGAATATTTATGTCGTAGGGGTTCCCGTGAAAATAAGTTATGAATTTTCTTTAGAAAGTGAACAATAAACTGAGTAAACTTTATTCGAAAACTTTGTCAACGATTTGATTTTTTTTTTTTGAAAATTTAAAACAAATAATACGAGTAACTGGCCATTCGAAACGCGTTATAGTGTTATAGACAAAACCTTGATTCGGTATTAATCTACCTAACACAATGAATACATTTTTCCACAGTATAAAAGATGTGTTTTTAAATTTTTTTTATATGAATAATGTGGTATATGTGAAAAAAACCAAAATCAAATTTTCTCATATTCTTAGTTCTTACGGTAATCACTGATAAGTGATTGAAAAAAATATATATCCATGTATTTATTTTACCGTTATTTAGAATATATTGGTAATTATTTGATATTACTTGTATTTTTCTTAATAATGAGGAAAAATCCGATAAAAAACATTGGAAAAAGAGAGAATCGAAAAAATTCTGGTTTCTGTTATTCTGAATTTTGATTTGTTTAGATTGTAAATCGGTAAGGCGCATCCATATAGTATGCAAACATGCTAATCATGATACGCAGCATACGTAAAATTAACAAATGCATTATGTGTGTACGTAAATACATTACGTACACGAAAAACTGAGACAGTATGGAAGTATTTATGAATAGAACACAGCACACAGTGATAAGTATTTCACGACTGTGACAATAAGGGTACATAAAAAAAAAAATAATTAAGACTATTCGACGGGGTTCTTCATATTTTTTTTAATGTTTGATCCAATGGAGATACTGAAATTAAAATTGTTAAAGCTATTTACCTTGTGAGCTACTTATAGCTGCCGCGTCTTGTGTGATCTATAATCTTGTTCCGCTTCTTTAATTACACTTTGAACATACTTTTTTTTCACACTTAATAATGTTATGAGTTTCTTTTCTTTTTACTATAAAGATTTTTTTTTTCACAATTGTCAGCATCAAGAATCATTGTTTAGCCATATTCCTCTAGCTATTTTCCTTCTATCCAGGGTTTCTTGGCATATAGTGTTAAACCATAGTTCATTCTTTCTATGGGCTTTTCCTAAAACTTTCTCTGACACTTTTCCAAGGGTAATTTTAATTACTTTTACCCTTTATGTTCTTACATCCGTTATGTTGGCAAATCTCTGATTTACCAATATATAGTCTATTTGATTTGAGTACCTACCATCAGGTGACATCCACGTCCCTTTATGTATATTCTTATACGGGAACATTGTACTCTTGATTCTAAGACCTTTCCCTATGGCTAAATCCACTACTTTTGTTCCACTATCGTAAGTTATGTCGTGCAAACTGTGGATACCAATAGTTGGTCTAAAAGATCTCTCTTTCTCTATTTTGGCATTCATATCTCCTAGCACAATTTTTATTTTACTATTACTTATCCCTTCTAGTAGTAGTTCTATCTCAGTATAAAAATCTTCTTTTTCTTGTTATGTTTTGTCCTCCGTGGGTGTGTGTACGTTAATGAATACGATATCAAAAAACTTAGTCTCTATTTTTAATAGCGCTAGTCTTGGGTTGATTACTCTAAACTCTTTTATCATTGGTACAATATTCTTACGTATCGCAAAACCAACTATTTATTGTTCTCATTCATCACACCCACCAAAAAGGATTGCCATGTTGCTTTTTTCTATACTTCTTGTTTCTTTCCATCTTATTTCCTGCAGAGCTACTACTCCTAAATCGTATCTTTTTACTTCTTTGATCATATTTTGTGCAGCACCGGGTTTGTAAAGTGTTCGTACATTCTAAGTTCCAAAAGTGAGTTCCGTATTTCCGTTTCCAAATAATTTTCCATTAAATCTATTCCGAGGCTTGTTCTTAGGGTCCTGAACAAAAACTCTGACCTTGAGTTGTTGGGGTAGTCTGTTCCTCCAGATTGAAGGCTGAGCGCAGGGTGAACAATCCTGCCTCGTAAAAAGATTTTGTTCAAGAATTAATTTAAATAGTATTTCAAAATCACTGATATTCATTTAACAGAAATTTCAAAAATGAAATGCATCATTAAATTTAGATTCTGAGTGAAGCGAAGAAGCTTATAGTTTTACAAAGATGCTTTTTTTTTCTGTAGACAACTTTTCTACCCGAGGACTTGCTTAGATTTTTTCGTGTAGCACCTTTCGTAATTTAAATCGTAATTCAATGGTTTTTGTAAGCTTCAAAGTAAATTAAAATTTTAAATATTGGAAATCATTTTGGGGTATCACCTTATTTTTCATGAAAATTATTAAAAAACTGTTTAACATTGAACATGTATTCACAATTTATTTCACACAGAATATGGTATTTGAATATGTTTATTATTAACACCAGAGTTTTAGGTGAATTCTCGTGGGATATTATGAATATACAAGTGTTTATAAATATTTCGAAAACTTATGTGCATATGGTTTGATTAAAATTCACACTATGTAATTACTCTAACTTTGATACGATGGAAAGCACTTCGTCGAAGAAGTCTTAAATTATCAAAGCTTACATTATTATAATATGCATTGTAATTTAATTCAAAAATCCAATTTTAAAATAAAGATATTTCTGAAATGAAGTATATTTTTGATTATGAGGAGTTCAGGCACATAGCAAAGGGGAATCCATGGTGTCTGAACAACCCTCCGAAATTTAAGCTTATTACCAAAATATCAGATTATTGGCACAATTGTATATTTATATAGGTAGTTAGTGATCTATTTTATGTTTGGACTTCTCCCCCCCCCCATAAAAAAAATCTCAACTACGTGCTTGGCAGAGTTGTTTATACTATTTTGGTTTCAAGTAATTTCGAGATTTAACCTAGTTTTTTTTTAATTATTAAACAAAAAAAAAATTGATATATTTCCCAGTTTTACATTATTGGCATGCAATTTTTGTAGAGGGGAGAGTTGGAAAAGTAGGATATATATAGGATGATTTTTTAAGCACGCTCACTCCATTTGTATGATAAAATGAAAAACATAAATTTAAAAATCTGATTTTTGGAATTTTTAAGTGTATAATGAAAGACATTATTTTTTCATACTTCGATCTTCTACAACTTTTAAGTATCCTGATGCAATATTAAAATTGATTTTTCAAATGAGAACGTTAAAATATCGATTACAGTACATAATAATACAGTAAAAATAATATTTTCATTAAAACATGATTGATCTCATATAAAAAATCAAAGTTAGCATCGCCATAAAATACTTTTTAAATATCGTCTACCACTAGGTACAACTAAAAATTCCAAAAATAAGAATTTTAATTTATGGATTATAATTTAACCATAAAAATGGGGTGAGCATTCTTAAAAAAATCATCTTTTATATATCCTGTATATCTATAGGCAACGATAAATCATTACGAATAACAATTTTTCCGAAGTAAAGTAAGGTTTAACTGTTTTGATAACTTTAACTTCAACTTTTACTGAAAATTAAAATGTATGTATTGGTTTAATTTTATTCATTATGATATACCTAAATAATTAAATAAATATTTATTTATTTACTAATATTTTCATTAAAATTTAATAACTTCACATTTTAGATAGTTAATGAAGCGAAGAAGGTTATGGTTTTACAAAAATGCTCTTTTTTTCTGTGGGCAACTTTTCTACCAGCAATTTTGCTCTAACTATTAATGATAGCAATTTTTCTTAAAGAAAATTTCACTGGAGAGGTACTTTAAAGAAGTCGTTTATCGATTTTTTTTCAGGAGTTTTCTCAGCAAATGGTCGAAAATGGGAAAAAACATGGGAAAACATGGAAAAATTTAGTGAAACCGGGAACTTGGTACAGAATTAAACAATTATTATTAAAGAAAACCTATAGATCCTATTTATTTATTTTTCTATAATGTGACATATATATTGTTGATAAAGCATTCATTATCAACTGAACTCCTCTCAGAATCGTTTTTTCATAAGCAATGGTTTATCGTTGCTTACAGGTATACCTGTAAATTACCTATACCAGTTATTGCACCCATCTCCATTATCCTAGGACGTCTTTTTAAAATTGAAATATTATTATTATTATTATTGTATTATTTATTTATTTACGAACAGTGAGCCCAATATAATTCAAAGAAATACGTCTTTATATTAGTTTAACTAAGTGGGTGTTACACTTAACCAACTTTACAAGTAATAATTCTTAAATTTAGTTAACTTTGATTAAATAACTTTAGAATATAATAAGGTACAGATAATAACAATATACAAATCATGATATAAGACATGAAAATAATTAGATACTAAATAAGAATAATAACAACATTATTAATATATATATTAAACAAGAAAAAATGTTAGCAAGTTAAGCAAGTTAGTCTCAACTCTTCTATCAGCTAAAGAGATAAGACTGAGTTGGTGCATAACTAGTTGGTAGTCGTAGGGAGGATGGTTAATTTTCAGAATAAACGCTGCTGAATTTAAAAATCTTCTCTGGACACGTTCAATAAATGAAGAATCCACATCCGTACAGGGATCTCATAGTACTAAAGCATACTCTAGAAGGGATCTAACAATGGAACAGTAGATAGAAATGAGAGATGCAAACAATTTAAACTCCTTGGTCAAGCGTAACACAAAACCAAATGTCTTTAGAGATTTACAACACATTGCTTCAATATGGGATTGATAGTTCAACTTAGGACTGAGAATAATATCTAAATCTTTTTTTGTGCTTACATACTCAAGGGTCAAGTTATTAATGGCATAAGTATAGCTGATAGTTTCAAAATAAGTCTCAAAAGAAATAGTGATTTTTGTTTAATTGATTTTCAGATTAAGACAAAAATGTACTATAACATTTTTTATACTCAATCTCATACTTCGCACGAAAATTAGAAAAGTCAAAATAGTCACGAGAATATTAAGTTGACTTATACTTTGCATGTTTCCTTTTTTTTTCCAAAACCAACTAGGAAATCTCAAAAGTATTTAATCGGCTTCTAGGATGAAATTTAAGACACAAAAATGTAAAGCGTCATAAAGTGCGTGCGTTGCTGAGTTAATATCAAGTGACGTAATGGTTAGAAGCCAAGTGTACGACGACAAGAATGAGCAAATCTGCACATAACAACTTCTTCAGAAATCAAAGAATTTATGCAAATTATCAATAGGTGACAATAGGTTTATAGTCAAAAGTGTACATTAAATCTAAAGCTGGGTGCAAAGAGTTACTAGGTACAACCACAGTATCAGATTTAGAAATACACGTGTATAGGTTATTAGAGAACACTAGATCAAGGATATTACCATAAAAGTTAGGTACATTGTATACTTGAAAAAAATTATGAAATACAAATATTTCAAGAACGCAAAGTTTTTTAGGACCAGAGACAGAATCCTATGAGACCCTATAGTTTTCATTGGAAACTTATGTCTGGAAGATTAAAATCTCCACAAAACATGAATACACAATCGTAATGAGTAGAGATTGTAGTTTGGACCGCGGACATAAAAGACTCATATATGTGGATAGGACTGTTAGGAAAGTTATAGACGGAACAAACAACAAAAGCAACATTATTGATTGTAAATTTAACAAATGCACGTTCGACATTGTTTATCGATGTAGACAATAACCTACAACAGATGTCATTATAAATAGCACCACCACCTCTACAGCAATTAATCGTTAAATTGTTTCTATCACACCGAAAAATAAAGTAATTAGACAAACCTAATTCATTATCATAGAAACTATTAGCAAGCCATATTTCAATTAGACAAACAAAAATACAATTAAAAACAGAAACATTACATTTAAATAAATTTAGTCTCGATCTTAAACCTCTACAATTTTATTAGAAGCCAAAAAGTACATTAGAGCTTACTTTTTCAATTAGTTTTTTGGAATCGAGCTCAGCGCCATACCTGGTTTAAGATGACCCCAAAAACTTTTCACGATAACACCTTCAGGCCAAAATTATGGTTTAATACCTCATTTAGGATTTAAAGAAGAAATTCGATATGAAATGAGGCATAAGTTGGGTGCTTGGTTGAGTGATGGTAGTGTTGTCAAATGTAGGAAACAGTCGGATTTGAGCATCTCATTTGTAACGAATGGATCTAATTTTGAGACGAATATATCCGAGTGTTTACAAATAGGGGCGGCAGAAATCTTTACAGCTGAGATCTTACCATCAGTTGGTTGGATCGCTTGCATTTTTTGGCAAGCCAACAATATCTTATCCGAATATGATTTATTTGTCTAACCTTCTTAACCGACTTCCCACTATAACGATTAGTTAAAAAGTTATTTTTCTTCCTCTTAGTCATAAGGATATGATATAATAAATAATAATAAAAATATAAGAATATAAGAATATAATAATAAATATATTTGAAAACAAAAAGGACCACAAGTCTTAAGTATAATAGCTATATAGTCTCAGGTGCAAAATGTTTTTGTTAAAAAAATCGAGTTATTATTATAATTTTTTTTTTTTTTTTTTTACTTTCATGTTTTGGCATAGTATAATAATATAAACTTAACTATAATTATGAGAACAACTGACAACGTTATTCATTACGAAAAAAGTTTTGTCTACTTCATTGTTTATTTCCGTTTAATGTACCTATACTTATATTTTTATCTTTTATAAACTAGCACCAAGGCAAGCCCCAAATTATCCGAAACTTGTATTTTTTGTCATTATTATTATTATTTAAATTAATTTTAAAACTCTTTCCAATGGAAACATATTAATTAAATGTATAGTCGTATTTATTATAAATATTATACCTAGTTTAAAAACATTTAGTTACACAAAAATATCTCAATTCATACGTACAAACACAATAACAAATAATATTTTTGAAAAACCGTGAATTGTGGTAGTCGACATTAATCTGATAGGTTTACAAAAACAACACATAACATTTTATTTTATTACGAACTCTTCTTTATAACAACTTACAATGAATAATAGAAGGAACGACAGTTATGGTTAAAATTAAATTTTATATTAAAATTAATAAATTGAGAACTGGATATATCGTAAACGAAAAAAAAATCTGAATATTAAAACTTGAAAGACACTACAGGAGGATATCTAACCTGATTAAAATGACAATAAGCTTTATCACAATATAAGAAGAGAAGTTCAAATCGATTGAAACGATAAAATGAAAAGGGAAGAGATTATGGTTCGCATAATATTATAAGCCGCAAGTGAACTAATATTTTTTTATGTTTAGAAAAAATCAATCTAAACGACAACGAATGAAAAGTACCTGAAAATCTCACAGAAATAATTAAATATAGTATCAATACTATTAAATTTACACTGAATATAAATGAAATATTGATTTCATAAAAAAATCGTTCTTATACAAAAATGTGTTAAAAAAATTTTTCTATTCGAATCTGTAAAAAAAATGATGTCATCAAAAAAGAAAATAGACTGTTATACTTTGCACAATGAGAACAGCCACTGCTGTTGGTGAAAAGTTGGGAACGTAGGATATGCAGGATGATAAATTTATCATAAGATTCATTATCTCAGAAAGTAAATTAACTTGTTTCAAAATTTGTTTAAAAATAAATTTTCGAAACAAGCAGCTCTACCATTTTATATTTATGTTATCTGTAGTCACCCTTATTTTTGGGAGTGAAAGTAATGTCTACTTTTGATTTTCAAATGGCAACCTGTATTAAAAATTCCATAAATAGGTAGAGTAGTAGTTAAAATAAATGTTTGTATTTAAATTTTTAGTTTACGTCACTCCATTAACGAGATATGTAACTTTTAAGATTGGGTCAGGGGAGAGTAGTGGAGCATCATCTGTATGGCGGCACGTTGCGTGACGTTTTTAGAATGTTTCACTACTCCCCCCACCCAACCAAACTTTAAAAGTAGAATATCTCGTCAATGGATTGGCGTAAATTAATAATTTAAACACCAAAATTTATTTAAACTACCATTACAACTATTTATGGAATTTTAATATAGGTTGCTATTTAATAATCAACATTAGTAGTAATCAACAGTAAGTAGTCGTTTCACTCCCAAAAATTAGAGTGACAAAAAATAATGTAAATCATAAATGTAATAACAGCTTGTTTCTTAAATATTCTTTAAAACAAATTTCAAAAATGTTAATACTTTCCGAGATAATGACTGTCTTACGATTAATTTATCATCCCGTAGAAAGGAAATTAATTTGTAACTGTAAGCAACGATAAACTATTGCTTAATAAAAAAGATTTTGAGCGGAGTTCAGTTGATAGTGATGAAAAAATATTAACGTCATATTATGGTAAAATAATTAAATAGGCATTATACATTTTTTTTAATAATTTTGTTTAATATTGTAACGATTTGGTCGTTTTCCCTACGTTTTTCCCGGTTTTCTAAAAAAAATGGCCTGTTTAAAGTACCTCCTTAGTCAGATTTTCTTTTAGAAAAATTACTAGCATTGTAAATCGGAGCAAAATTCCTGGTATAAAAGATGTCCACAGAAAAAAAATATCATAGTATTTTACTAATATATTCCGTACATTTTCCGGGTTTTTCTTACTTTTTCACTTTTATTAGGAGAACTGCCAAGAAAAACAAAAAATAACCTCTTTAAAGTACCAGCCCGAGAAAATTTTCGTTCATAAAACAGTCTACATTATGTACATCGGAGTAAACTTTCTGGTAGAAAAAGTTTTCATATAAAAAAAAATATCTTTATAAAATCAATAGATTCTTCGCTACACTCAGAATGTAAAAGCAACTTTTATTACTCTTGCATTGCAAAGGGTTAAACATCTTAAAATAGGCTCAAACGCGTATTTTAATATTTAAGTCTATCCGGTTTAAATATTTCGTGTTTACCATTTAAACGAAACTCACTGTGTATAAGAAGTGTAAAATGTGAAAAAATCTACTAATTTAACGATGGTTTTCATCGTCGACAATATTATAGTCCTATTTACCTATGCAGGTTCGGCTCGAGGGTTAGTAAATTTTAGCCAACATCTAAGACTGCATTTTTCAGTGGTGGAATTTAAAATTTTTAAAATTTACATGTATAAGGTGCTGCAGAACTTAAGTTTGCTTAGGAGCGTTTAACCGCTCGAGCCGAGCCTATATCTAAGTAAATTTTTACTGAGTCCTCTATGAATAAATACCAATTGCTAAAATATAAGTTTGGACAAACAGGAAAATTAATTTTCCGTACACGGTTGGATTTTTATGCTTCTCAATTAGTATACTCAGATTTTGATTTTCGGGACATTTTTTTCCCTCGTCGCCCAGGGAAAACTGGATGGTACAGTGAATCATAACATAAATATTCATACACATACTGCAGTTCTGCGGTTATTATGTCTAATATTGTATTGATGCCTTTTATATCATTATATACGGTTATACATCGTTATCACAGAACTCGAAAATAAAATCAATATTATTCTCTTCTAGCAATGTCTTCAAATCATCAACATGGCACCAAACTAGAATATAATACTTTTTAAATTTAAAAAATATGATAAAAATTCATAGTGTTTAAATTATATTTTTAACTCAGTATGCCAATGATTCTCAACCGGAATGGCATGGACCTAGTGTACTCTGTGACACGAAATCATCGAAGAAAAAAAATAAGAAAATTGTTAAAATTGTATAGAATAATATCGTATTATTGCCTTCGCCGTCATATAACCACTAACACCGTCGGAACATCATAATATTCCCTCCAAGGAATGCTATAATTTCCTATAATTTCAATGGACTATGTATTGGCAGGGTAACTCAGTGTTAGATTATTTTGAATAAGAACACGAATCAATAAAGGTTGAGAACTATTACGGTATACCTATTACATACAACTTTTGGTGCGTATATATTATTTACCTAATTCAAGAAATAACTAATCGTTTGTAAAATTAATATCCCTTTTTGTTCAGAATCTTAATGCACCAACTGATATTTTATTGATTTCAACAAATACTAGGCTTCATTTATTCACTTAAAATCACTACAATTACGATTATTACAATAGAAACTAAAAAAAGCTTCTCTTAAATATCGACTAAATTAGTAATTGAAAATTTAAAATAATTAAATTAAAGTATTGATTAAAATATAACAATTCATTTGCCTAACTAAAGCTAAAATTTAAATTCAACCATCAGAATTTTACGGAACATAAAAGAGAGGTGAGAAGTTGGGAAGATAGAACTTAATTTAGGTGAAAAATTTAGGGAAATGTAGAAAGAAATCTAATATAGGTATATCTGTACGCAACGATTAATATTTGCTAATGAAAAATGATTTTCATTGGAGTTAAGTTATACATGTTTTAAAAGGTCGTGAAAATTATATATTTTGTAAATCTTCCCGTTTTTCCTACTTTTTTCTCTGGTTTTTCTCAGTTATTATGAATACTCCTGGGATAGTTAAAAAGTTCCACCAGAGTCAGATTTCCTTTTAGAAATAGTGCTATACATGAAAATCGGAGCAAAATTTCTGATACAAATGTTGTTCACGGATAAAAAAAAATCATGTAAAGTAATCATTGTAAAACCAATATGTTCCTCAGAAACTAAAATATGATTTAAAATTCTTTAATAAAAAAAAAATATTTTGGCCACTTAATCTGATTTTTCGAATTTATACGGTTCCACATACTGAAAGTTGGTATAAAACAGAAAATCAGCAATAATATTTTTAACAAGCATAAAAATAAAATAAAAACATATGTGTGGTATATTTGAAAAAAAAAAGATCTAATCAATACTTAATAAAATATATATTATTTAATTCTTCATATTTGTAACATTATTTTTATTATTACATATTAATCAATTTATTATTATTATTTTTTTTTTTAATATGCATTACTGTTTACCTAATCATTAATAATTAATATAGTTCTACTTTTATAGGCGCACAATCAACTAGTGGCTATGCTAGAAAAGGACAATTTTGTAGTGGATGACACTCAAAATATAGCCGGCGATGTGTCATTACCAATCAAAAAACTCCGTGAAAAAGACATTCGGATAATTTTGGGGAATTTCAACGAAACGTGGGCGAGAAAAGTATTTTGTGAAGCCTACAGGTAAGCCAATTTAATATTTTACAATCATAATATTCTATAAATATTTAATATTTCTACTGACTATAATCAAATATAAATATACTTTGACTTATTTTTAGGGTCGGTATGGTCGGCGGAAAATACCAATGGCTTATAATGGGCACCTACAATCCACTGTGGTGGGACGAAAAGACATCACCTTGTCCCGTAGCACATTTAAGCGCAGCTTTGGACGGATGCATACTTACAGATTATTTACCTCTGTCTACTACGGGAGAAATCACCGTATCCGGCATAGTGAGTGAAAACTGCCTATACGAACCTTGTACAATATAGGATATAGGTCAACGTTACCCAACCCTTGTATTTCAACTTGATTTTGGGTAGTCATTTTTAATTGGTCACCTCACCATTTTAAAAGTTAAAAAAACATGTTTTCAAAATTAAAACAAGATTAACTTTATAATGATTTTATTTTATTTAAAAACGTATCAATATTTATATTTATGTAGGTAAATAATAGTATACAACATTAAGCACCGTTAAGCTATACATTTATTTTAAAACGGATCATGTGGAACACGGAGTATATATACACAACCGCTAGTATAGATAATTATTGAGAAACCAAATATTCTCTCATATTATTCATATCAGTCATATTCCGTAGGGTGGTTAAAATTATAATAATCGCTTATTTGATTTCGGAACCATAATTAATCATAAGTAAATGAAACTAATCAACTTAAAATTGTTGTATTTCAGTCATCAAATATTAAGCTATTATAATAAAATTATTCCATCTTCTAGATTCTGAATAAAACAAGAAATCTATTAGTTTTACAAATATGCGTGCTTTTTTCTTTTCTTTTTTTTTTTTTGTGTCTGTAGACAACTTTTTGAACAAAATTCTTGGTTCATTCATTAACATCAAGGGTGGTTTTTCTATTAAATTTTGCCTAGTTGTCACAAGGTTCGGCGAGATTCCTATAAATACCCTTTATTAAACAACGGAGAGAAAGGGCATGACAAAAACGGGAATATTTATGAAACAAAGGTTTCTAGTTCATTTGGTTTTATTTTTTTTTGTAATTCAGTAAAAATATATTATATTAGAACCTCAATTTTTATTAAATACTTATATTATCATTTTATAGACTTAATATAATTTTTGAAATATTCTAACCGTTTATTTTTAACAATTTGGACATTTCGAATTTTTTCGATTTTATTTTGATTCATTTTTTTCAATATTTAGTAGGTATTCGAAAATTTGTTATGAGATGATTTTTGTGTTAGAACCTTTGTTATATTTTTATTTTGACGAACACAAATGTATTCAATATAAAATATATATAGGTCAAATGTCTCGTATTAACTCAATAGCCATTATATGTAATTTGATAAATTAAACAATTTTCAAAATGGTTTTTCTTTTTAAGAACTTTCACATTTCTGTGTGACTATTTATCCAATACTATATAATTATTATTATCCTGAATAAGCGAAAATATACCTGACAATGACAGAAAACTCCCGAGAAACATACGGAAAAAGTCGTCTTCCTCCGACCCGGCAATCGCACGACGATGCTAATGACTGTGGAAATCGTTTAGCTCCACCCAACCACCCACCCTCCCATCCTCCTTCGTAACAGGAAAAAAACGACTGGTGTCACTCTCCACTCCTGAAACCGACGTCGGTGATGCGTGTGAACACGACTGATGAACGGAAGCGTTCACAATACAAACGAACAAGACGTGCCATCGGTGCTGAGTCTTTCGTCAAAATTACCTTCCCAGTGCGGCACTTTGATACAACGGTGATCTGGTCTAAAGTTTTCCATGGTCTGACAAAACACAGCCATATTGAACAGTACCTAATAAGCAATAATTTCAGTCTAAAAATAACTAGAACATAAGCACAGCATATTATCATCTTGAACTTTTTATCGAATTTTCGAAAATCGTTAAAGAACCAAACAAATTTCATCCATATTAAACCATCAAAAGAAACTAAAAAAAAAACAACATTTCAAATGGCTATAATTTATAAACTGCTCAAAATTACCAGAATATTTTGAATCACGTCTACAAGGTATCCTACAGTGTTATCCTTATGTTAATAATTATATCAATATTTTTTTTTTTCAATAATTTCGTAGCAATATCAATTTTATTTCTAGAAAATTGACATGAAAACAATTAATATTCAAAACAAGATATGAAATTACCGAGCTGAGTAACTATTAATCGAATATGAATGTATGATAGGTATAGGTACATTAAAATGTTTAAAATGATATATTTACAAAATAGTTATATTGAAAATTTTAAAAAGTGAAAAAATACAATTTTTTTTTCAATGATTAAGAAATGGAAATAAGAACTTCGTTTTTCTCTACATACTTGTCCCCTTTTCACAAAACCTAATTGAAAAAATTAATGAATATTGGCATAAGGATTTATAGGGCACCTGTATAGAAAAATGTAGGTATTTTATCATTATTTTTTAGATTAAACTCTCTCTGCCTAAAGTTCTTTTTTTTATAGAAAAGTTAAGTTAAGGGCAAAAAATATTTTCCTCTATGCACGAGTATGTGTTACAAAATCCAATCAGACACGGATCCAGAACAAAGATCTGAGGAGGGGGCAACTATTTTTTTACAACACAAATACAATTAAAATATAATATAATTCATTATACATATTTTCTCATACAATTATCATACAAAAGTAGGAGAAATAATAACTGGGAGGGTCTGGGCTCCTGGGCTCCCCTTGGATCCGTTCCTGGATCCTATTGCACAATTAAACAAATTTAAATATTAATACAGATATAATAGTATCAGTAAAACACATTGAGATATCCTGTATACATAATGTAGTATGTATACGTATGGAAAGAGAAGGAGAATACAAATAATATCCCTCATTGCATGAAATATTCAATTTACTGGGCAGAGAACACACCTAACTTACACTTAATAAATATTATATTCACCGCTCGTGTATGCATAATTCACAAAACGTTGGGTTTATATTCTTCATTAAATACAATCAACTCCCGGGCCATTGTAACTTATTAACAATGTAATATAACTTATGAAAACTGACTAGATTCATCTGACTATATATAATATATAGGTAGGTACTTAACTGCAACTCGTGTATATTAACCAAACTTTATGAAATTTATCTCGATTTAGATTAAGTAGGTACCTATACATAATATACTGATATATTTCTAGCCCTACATGACCTTATAAACAAATAAATAATAGAGGAGCCGGTCTTAAGTATTTGGTAAAATGTTCATCAATCCATATTTTCATATTTCTATATTAGTAATTCTATAAATAGATATAGGTACTAGACAGTGTATGTGTATATTATAGATATTGAGTCACACTCGATGATAAAAATAAATTAGTATTAAATAAGTTAAATCGTCAATAAAAAATGTAAATAACTGACCACATAATAAACTTATATACTCTATAATTGGATCTCTTATCATAAACTTCTCATCTACAACAGTGGCCCACTCATTGTGCGAAGTATACGCGTTTGTTTATTTTTTTTATTTTTCGAATTCCGTGAAAATAGAGATTACATAATCGCAAGTTAATATGTCTGATATCATATCATTATAATTATAACCAAGGTATATCTTATTCCGCTACTTTTTAACACTTCTAATGGCTCACTCTGAATCAAATGATTTTAAAATAGACACATTGAAGTGGAAATGGGATACATTTCAACATTTTATTACGAAAAGAGATTATTTTTTTTTTAATTTTGAACGTGCATTCAAAACCACCAAATGACAGTCCAGGTCATTTTGACGTGGCTGTTTTAGCGTGAGCTATTTTGACGTGAAATATAATTGTTTATATGTTTTTTTTTAATATATTACCTGTTATCACAATTAACTTAATACACTAAAATTTCAGTTGTAATCTGACTTTCGTTTGAAACAGTAGTTTACTGGCATTATATCTTTTATGGAACACCGTAGTCAAATCGTGGATTACAAAAGATATTGGCCTATTCCAGTACGTATTACTTCGGGAGTTCCTCAAGGGTCCCACTAATATTGTTTCTTATTTTTGTTAATAAAATAAGTTTTCTTAATTGCACTAAATTAATATTTGCTGAGGATATGTAACTTCTAGTATTCCTTACTATTAACAATCAAACGGAAGCTTGTTTACTTCAATCTAACTAAAATATTCTCTATGATTGGTGTATCAACAATAATTTTACTCTCAAAATTGATAAATCCAAAGTAATGGTTTTTTCTAAAGCTAGAGTTTTTTCATAATTTAATTACAATTTCAATGGTGAGTCAGTTCCTCGGACTCTGGGACCTGTTAAGGACCTTGATATTTTCTTTGGTTCAAAACTTAAATTTGACTGTCCCAATTATAATATGATTAATAGATCAAACAAAATATTAGGTTCCATTCATTTTAATTGTTCTGATTTTCATGATAAACATTTTTACGGAAGTGTTTTCCAAAAAAAAAAAATAATTTTGTTTTTAATTTAATATTTTATTATTTAAATATCTTTTTTTTTCTACTGTAATATAGATAAAAAATATTTTTACGATAAGTAAACATGCCCCGATCTTGTCAATCTGTTGGTACCTTTAAATGATACGAAATTTCCGACCCGTAATACTCGTACTTTACTTTAAACAATATTTTTAAATTCCAAACTTCTTGTCCCTAGATCCTTATTTTTCTAAAAACACTTTGGGTTAGTAAAAATGCTCTAAATCATCGTGTACATTAAAAGATGCGGATTTTTCACCCAGCAGTATTTTATTTAAAAATGTATGTAGATTGCCTTAAACAATAAATAGTCTGATAACATAATATATGCGGCTACACCAATTTCGTTTTTATTAAATTCATTATATTCTAGATTACTTTAACTATAATGAGAAAACACCTACCTATCCTAACCTTACCAAGCTCAGCTCAGAATATATACCATTATAAAGTATATCTTTTGATTACTATAATACTTATATACTAAAATATTTACTTAAACTCGTAATAGGTTGTAGGTATAACAATTTAAAACATAATTTGAAAGCATATAAGTTATTAGTGCTCTAGGGGAAAAAGTTTACACGGAGTATAGGAAGTATAACCTCTTACACAACTATAATAGTAATAATAATATGTTCTATAAAGTTTTCGTCTAACTCTCTTGACGATACCTACCTGTCTTATACCCGAATTCACGTTGTACTAAATAGTTACTATATACTGATGTTATAATAATATAATATGAATTCTTGGTTAATATTACAATAATATTTTTCGTTAAATATGAAAACAAAATACTATGATCGAATAATAATAATCATATTTTTCAAATAGCAATTTATCAGTAATTTGAAAAACTTTGAGTTTATGGGGAAAAGAAGCACGGTGTCGACGTTGATGATATGGTCGATCTTTATATAGATTGAACGGTTTTTTTCTTTTCTAATTCAAATTATTATTTTAAAAACCCAAACCGTTCTTAGTTAGATATATTATTATATAATATGTAGTTCATAACAATAATAATATTTTCAAACATCATAAATTGTGGAAGACTGGTTTTTATGGTCTGATGAACCAGGGCCCGAAAATATTATTATAACGTTATAAACTTAAAACAGTTAAAAAATAATTAAAATAGGTAAAGAAAAACGATCATTTAAAATTATCACTAAATAAAATGGTACAACAAAAGACAATTTTGGTAAAACAAAAAACAAAAAAAAACGATAAACTAATAATTAAAATAAAAGGACAAACATACTTCAAACGTGGTTACAGCCATTTTGTAGGTAGAAAGTTAGGAAAGTAGGACACCAATGGGAATTTGATGTATATATGTAAGCAACAATAAACCATTGCTAAAGAAAAAACAATTCTGAGCAGATTAGTTCAGTTGATAGTTTTGCTTTGTCAACAATATATTATTTATCATATTATAGTAAAATAATTACAACAATATGCCTTTCAATGACAACAATAATTGTTTAAAAATAATTTAAAATAATAAAAAACAAAAAATAAATAAAAACTGTTGCTAATGGCAACCTTATTTTTAATCTTAAACCTTTTTTTACATATAGAACCAGGCTTTCCTCATTATCTCGAATATCAATGAGAATTTCATAAAATGGCCTCTCTTAACAACACTTTCTTTCAGAAAAGATGCTATACTTGATAATCGGAGTATGCTTTCTGGTAGGAAAATTTTTCACATAAAAATACAAATTACCATCTTTGTAAAATCAATAAAATCCTCGCTTCACTCGAAATCTAAAAAAAAAAAAAAAAACATAAAACGAAACTTAATGGAAAACGAAATGGATCGTAAAACAATAAGTGATAGTAAAACGTTGTTTTTAATTTCCATAAATCATAGGCAATAGGTACGTTTACATAATTAATACATTTTACATTTATAGTTTATAGCGTTTATACACGATTTTATGAATTCAAGTCGAGAGCTATTTTCGTTTTATGCTGCCCGAGCGATCGAGTTACCTCACTGGGTCATTAAAAATGACAGGCACACCTAAAATGCATTTGTTTTTCCCTTGTTACTTACTTGATGTGATTTTACACAACAAATCTAGATTTTGTTTTTTAAAGCAGTCCAAGATAGCGTAACTAGTAGACTATTAAAGATGAGTCTTTTAATCATTTTTGAATTTTTAATGAAAAATATCAATGAAGATCGTGAACATATAATAGTGATGACCATAATAAACATAAATAATTTTATAAAATATCTAGCAGGTAGTCGCAAATCGCAATAACAATATTGATATACTTTCGTTAAATAAATTAAATTTAAGATATGGAGTAAAATAGAAAAGTACTATATAAAGTACGAAAATATATTATTCATATTTTTCCGAATCGTGCAATATTTTTAACAAAGATTTCATTAATCTTTTTCCATTTAAAATGAGTTCTTTTTAAATTTCAGGTACTTACTTCTAGTTCATTGGAAATCGTTAATTGGCGTTAAATGTTGACTTCTCCACTCCGTTAACTCTTTCTACGTTAAAAACTACTGTTAAATGACAAGCGACGAGACGGTTCTGCAATGAAACGGTCTGTGGCGAAACGGTCACGTTGGAATATCCCATAATATAACATATGTTATATTCATTTTAATTGATATTTGATTTTTGAGTGATTAAATTTCCAGTAAATTTATTTATTTTCTAACACCTATAGGTAACATTTTAATTTTAAATTACATTAAACGTAAAAGTTATGTAATGTTTTAAATCAAAATTCCATAAAATGAAAATGTTTTATAACCTTTTGAATCAAAATTATAGATAAGCATGCAATCTGAGTGTCTAAATTATCTGATTATCTAGGTATTCAAATTCATATCCGGATTTTTCGAACTATCCGGATTATTCATATTGCTTTTATATTTGCTATTCCAATATGATATAATATTTTTATCTGGCCAGATCACCCTATTTTTTCAACCAACGCAAGACCGTATCATACAACTTAAAGTGATATCATATGACTAATGAGTAATGGCACAAATATCTACTATAATGTTATGATATGCTTCATAAAATAAATTCACTACGTATATGCAATGTACTAATATGAGCTAAAGGACATGTCTGGGCATTTTAGAGGCCACGCGTTAATTAAGCGATCTGTGTTTCATAACTCTCGATAGCAGTAGATAAACCATTGATTTTGACCACTTAATCTGATAATGTATAAACATTATTTGGACTAAAATTCACTAACCAAGCATACTGCACTTTTATAAAAACCACCGTTCACGGGATATAGGCCCATTAAATTAAGTTGCGTATAATGTACAAAGCTCAACCAAAAATGAATCCGACAACAAATATGCCAATTCCAACTAAAATAAACGAAAAAGGACAAATAAATGTAGGCAGGTCCTACCTCTCAGTATCAAAAAAATAAGACTAAAATGTTCCAGAATCATCTTTTCCAAACTCCGACACAGAATTTAAGTCACCAATTAAACCAATCAAAACCAAAAAACACACCAGTCAAAAATACATTTTTCACTTCGACAAACCGTTATGTATTGTTAGAAAATACCCAAACTGAAGGTAATCAAACAAGTCATAATGAATTACAGCAATTAATAGAAACTAGAAATGTTAATGAAAAAATACAATACCACCCGTATTTATTACAAATAATCGTTCTTTATTCCTCCGACAAGACATGAGAATATAAAAATAAAAGTTATTTTTGTTCGCAAATATATTGAGACACGAGAGTAGACTTGGGTAAATACACCGTTTATGAAAATTACTGTCACAAATTATAAGGAATTGTCAACAAATTTATTTTAATCAAAAATAAAATAAAACTATCATCTGTAATATAACTATAATATATTTACATCTAATTAAATAAAATAAGAATTAATACGAAATATTTGGCATCAATGCATAAAAAACAGTACTAAAAGCATCCAGAAATAAGTTTGTCAGGATAACAAGATACAAAGTTGAAAATTAGGACAATCCCGCATAAAACAGTACGCATGGTCACCCTAAAGTAGTTGAAGTTTACTTATAATTTTTAAACAAATTCTGATAGTGTGTAGCGTACATGGAGTATACTTTAGAGGAATAAAATCGTTTTGACCTTATAAGCGTATATCTAATATTTTATTGTAAGGTGTATCAACATTTTTAGAAATAAACTTAATTTTTTTTTCAAAGTGTAGTTGAAAATAAGTGCTTGCTATTAATCAAAAGTTTAGGTATAATAAGCAGAGGTAAAAATGTGTAAACATTATCGAAATAAAATTAACAAATTCAGTAAGGATTAAAAAATTAAAATTAAATAAAATCAAGTTTAATTAAGATCTTCAAATAGAACCATTAAACAGCGTGAAACAATCTCCTCGCTAAAAAATTGACTAGCCAAATATGCAATTAACATTGAAAAAAAAGAGCTAATTCTGGGGATGGGTGCGGCCATTGTTGTAGGTGAGAAGTTGGGAAGGTAAGATACATAAGGTTATCTGTAAGCAACAATAAACCATTGCTGATGAAAGAAGATTCCGAGCGCAGTTCAGTAGTACATAATTTAACCAAGTTTCAAGTCTTTACGTGTATTTATAACTGAATTACAGCAAAAAACTCCCAAAAATTAACATTCCTTAAAAGTTTAAAAGTAGCTTAAAAGTTTTGGCAATGATACCGTAAGAAAGTAAATCAAAAAGTTATCTTGTGATTTTTCGATTAAATCATTTTTTTCTTGTAGAAAATATCGTCCGTGTTTTTATAAAATAATGTAATCCTGAAATTGTTTATTTTCCTACATTTTTTCCCACTTAAGTGCATTTATTAAAAAAATGACCTCCTTTAAGTACTATCTAGACAACTTGAGCTTTCAGAAAAGTTGCTACATGTAAAAATCGGAGCAAGTTTACTAAGAAAAAACGTCATTCCTTAGATGTAGTTAAAAATAATTTTCAAAACATTCTTTCAAGTTCTGAGTTATTTATAAGTATTAATGTGCCCAATATTTAAAATGTAACGTTAACTACTAGTATTCAAATTTACTATGCGGGTAGAACCTCAAATAAATGTTTGTACATTTTCAGTTATATTTTCTCTTTCTATTAAATAGTATTTCGTTGGTGTAAATAATTGTATATATTTTATATTTGTTTGAAAGCAAATAAAACTGATACGCGTTACAGAGTATAAATATAAAATCAAATATTAACAATATTATTATCATCGATAAAATGACGTTGTTATAATATCATTATTATTTTAGAGGTATACATTAATTTATACAATCTACACGTAGCATCCATTATAATAATATTATAGGTAATAGTACCCATATAATACATAATATTATATTAAACGTTCCGAACATAATCAATCATATCAAAAACTTTTATCATTCCCTGAACTTTTAAATAATGTACAGTTGTTTATGTTTGCGTGAAGTATTAACGCATAAAATACTTATCATATTGTTACACTGCATGATCCTAAAGTATAGGTATATTTTATTATGACAGTAATATCAACAGTAGTAAATAACGAGTAAAATGTGTAAATTGATTGAAATTCAATAGCATTTTAATATAATACAAACAGTGTTATGTTTTATCTAGATAAAATAATCACCCCAAGAGGTGATTATACAATATATTTTTAAGTTTATCTTATCTGGATAAATGAGAAATCAATTATCTAAGATAAGCAATTTAATCATCTGAATAAATCGTTTTAAATCATAATTCATAAGAGTGTGTAGTAGAAATAATACGTAAAACAATAAAACTGAGTTAGTTTAGGTCAGGTTATTATTTATTAAATTACATCAACACATAACCTTTATGCAATTTAAATGCATACGATATGATAGATACGTATGATTGTAAAATCTTACTACTTTAGCACCATGTTTTATAATAAGTCGTACTGATCGAAGTTATCTTTTTAATTTTATCTAAATGAAAAGTCGAAAAAATTCTCTTATCATTTTCCTAACAACTATAGCTGCTCTAGCAGGCAAAAGAGTTAATTGTATTATATTTAATCATGCAAATTATAAACCATACAAATAACATTTTTTCACGTCATGAAGACTAAACTCTAAAGGTTTATGTCATGAAAATAATTACTTCATGATATAGAAACAATATTTATGATTTATTTTTAATATTTTTCACATTATCAAACAATTTATGACGTCAATAAATATTACATAGGTTAATCTATAAAATTTGCCTCCTTAATAAATTAACTAACCTTCAGATTTACTCAAACAGATTTGGCTATTTGGTTTTTTTATATAATAGCTATGGGGTGCTTATCTATATAAACTTTTTTGACTTATTTTATTTACATGTAAATACACGTGTTACTGTTTACGAATTTAGGTTTTTGCACAATAATTTCGAATATTACGATAATACACCTCTACATAACATAGGTAGGTAATATCGAGATAACTGAGTTTAAAAAAATGTGTAATTTATAACCCGTGCAAATTGTGCAGTATGAATTTTATTGGAAAATATCAGTCAGTCATTTGCTCCGAATTTTGACATATTTAATAATACAACCACGTGCAAATTAATTTACGTCGCTTTTTTAATAAATCCTCCACCGTCGGTGAGATCGATCGAACGCATTCGTTAGTGTCAAAAACGAGTCGTTTCGTGACATCGCTATGCGTCAGTTTTCGGAAGAAAAAAAAATTAATAAAAAGAAGTTTAAAAAAAAAACGAAATGAAAAAAACGTCACTGTATCAATATGATAATATAATAATAATGGTATTTTAGTATTGGTTTTAGCATAGTATCGGTCAATGTAGTTTGACGTGGTGTGACTGACGGGCCTACCGGAGTCTTTACTTTTTATACACAGTGCTGGTCTCAAAGTGGGAAAGTACTCGGGAGGACTTTTTCCATGTATTTTTACCATTGCGCCTATCTATTTCATAAAGGGCGGTATGCTATTTCGCATAATTTCGCATTGTTATATTTACTAACGACCAACCACTCCCTCAAAATTCTTAGATTCTTTAACATTGTCAAAAATATACAAATATACTATATATTCTGTTTTACAAATGAATTGATTGCTGATATAAGATACCGACATGTTTTAGGAATATTTGGAATTTGAGTAAAAAATCACTTTACGCGATTTTTTTAATTTTCAAAGGAAATCTTTGTGTAATATTTTATAATCAGATTTTATTTTTTCTACTTTTTTTTTTCAAATACAACAATAAATAAAATCTAAACCGTAAATTTGTCCGCAGACGTCCAAGGAATATCAGCAAGAGTATGACATGAGGCGTGATAATGAATACTCAAGGTTTCACGGATACACATACGATGGTTTGTGGACGGCCGCCCTGGCTATCCAGGAAGTTGCTCGCAAAGTGCACCAATCGTCGCGAGATAAGGGCACGTTGAACCGGACCATAGCTGACTTCCGGTACAGGGACCGAGAGTGGGAAGATCTGTTTTTGGAAGCACTCCGACAAACTAGCTTCGAAGGAGTGACGGTAAAAATAATACTAAGACTATTTTTCTGCAAGCATTTCACGCAAATGATTTTCCGGGATTATAGGAATTATTGTTCGTGAAAGCCCTTATACAAGAATATAGATTTTTCTTTACCTCCTTCCAGTTAATATCTGCCGATATTCTTACAGTGCTAAATATATTAATTTGTACGTAAAGATGATTTTTTCCATTTCGTTTTTTTTTTTACCTTATTCCGTGATCTAATTAACTTAAATTTCGTCTTGTGCACTCACTCATACTTTCAATAATAATACACGAGTCGAAAATCTGATTTTCAGTTTTCACTCCTTTCATTCCGTTCACCAGTTTCACGTATGATTTTCGGGAGAAAATTTCAAAATATGGAAAAACGCTTCACGTTTGATCGTATATCCTCCAATATTTCATTGTCAGATTTTATATTTTTCCAAAGGTGTCAGGAAAATGATTTTGACCCTTTTTTCTTCTTTACTGGTCTTAACTAATTATTAAGACCATACCACTACACATATTCACACCTTACACCTATTTCTGTCTTTTACTATTTTCCTCGATTAGGTGTTTAGCTCCATCAACTTTATACCTCTCTTAAAATAATTATTCCATTTTAATTGTGGTCTACTCATAAACTTTCTTCTGATAGGATCATTCTGAGACATCTTTTTACTATTATTTACTTTTTAGTTCTTTTTATAAGCATAGCTTTAATATTTGTATAATTATTATTTTTTATGTTTATATATATTATATATATATACAGGCTGTCCCACGAAGATATACCCTTGAATATCTCTGAAGATAATAAAGATGATCAATAGTCTAACCATGTTACGCGATAACATCGGTTAGGTTATTCCCTAGATAACATCGGTTTTTACACGGATTAGTAGAATTTAAAATAGCTATTACTTAGAAACTATTCATCGGATATAAATGTGTGATACATTAAAATTTTCAGAAAAATAATCTTTATAGAATTGTTATCTTAACATTTTCCGAATATTAAAAAATAAAGTTATCTTTTTTTGGTCCTCTTCCCTGTGAGTAGTATAAAAAAACAAAATATCATCTTTATTATCTTCGAAGATATTCAAAGAGTATATCTTCATGGAATGGCTTGTATGTAAAAAATCAGTGGCGTATATAGAAATTAATTTGAGGGGGGTTGTAAAAGCTTTTGGGTTTTAGTTAATGCATAAATTAAACAAATTCATAAATACGCACGTGTACCGTACCAACCATAAATTTCGGGGAGCTTTGAACCCCCAAAACCCTCTCCTATATACGCCACTGTAAAAAAAAAATTCATATAATACCGAATAAAATACCATTTTAGGTTAGGTTGGTTAGGAAAAATTACATTTAAGCAATTGATTAATAATTCAAACGTACTTTGACGTGTATAATATTTTATGTAATATTATATTCTTGTGATTTAACATTATTCCTAATATAATGTCCGTATTAAAATATCAAACGATCGGTATAATAATTATAAAGACATAATAATATCCAAATAAGAAAGAAAAAAACAACCCTATAAAAATCTATAACTACCACTAGATATCACTTGAATTGGAAAACGACTATAATTCGAAATACAAAATTTGTTTCAGGGTCCGGTGAGATTTTACAATAATGAGAGAAAAGCCAGCATATTATTGAAACAGTTTCAAGGTGATTAAAAATAAATATTAAATTATATTTATTCGTGACCTCTTTAAATATTTAGTCTTAATAATAAACATTGCACATAACTTGTATAAATCATCGAGAATACAGGTAAGTAACTAGTATAAATATGAAGCTTTCTTGTTTATATATTATAGAGATCAACAACCTAAATAGCCGACTGTTTAATATAGTCTCAAGATGAGATATGAAGTCAGCAATCAAATGGGTATTAATTACTAGACAAATTTTGTTTACAAATACCTTTATACTATAATATATTATTATGGTATTTTGTAATATTTGTTTATGTCATGAACAGTGTGATAATATAGAAAAGATTTGTGATTAAGGGATAAAATGTTCTACAATGTAGTAAAATTTGAAAATTATTGTTAACATTTTAGTAGACAGTTTATTAAAGATAAGACTTTTCCACTAATATTCTGCCCGATAAATATTTAAGGGAAAAAGGCTAAGGTTGTTTTTTATAAACGAAAATGACTTCGAGAGAACAGGAATAACTTATTGTCAATATAATATTTTTCTACCGCTTTTTTTTTTAATTAATAAACAATATTTTGTAGAATATAATCTGTATATAGACCGTTTTTAACTTTAATTCTTCATTTTAATCAAAATAACTATATTAAGAAGTTGGTAAAAATAAATTAAAAATTACCTATTAAATTTAGAGCATTGCAAAGAACGTAATTTTTTTTTTGTATGATGTTTATTTATTTATTTTTTTAATTTTAAAAACATTTTTTTATACTATGTAAAAAACCTCTACCATAAATCTTGCTCCAACATATCAAGAGCACCACCTTTTCTGAAAGAAAATTTTATCTAGTTAGTACTTTAAGGAAGTTATTTTTTGATTTCCCAAGCGGTTTTCATAATAATTGGGGAAAAACGTCGGAACTAATGAACAAATTTAAATATTTAATATGTATCGCGTAACGATTTCATGATTTTATATTTTTGTAACTTATGTTTCCCACCAGAAATATTGCTCCGAAAAAAAACAACAAGATACCCTTTTAAGTGCATTTTTAATCTAGTTGGTGATTAAGAAAAATCGTTTTTTAATTTCCTTTTTAATTTTTTTAATTATTGAACAAACCGAAAAAAACGTAGAACGAACGAGAACAATTGCGAATATAATGCTCATTTTATTTTAAATTTTGATTTTTTTTTTTTTTTTTTGTAATTCAATTAAAAATATTTTTATAGACTTGATATTTTAAAAAAAAACCCTTATAACAGGTTTCTCTAAACATGAAGAAATTTTAAAAACATTTAAGCCATTACCAAGTATTTGTATTCATTTTAATTTAGCGAATATTTTACGTAATTTTTATTTGATAGGTACAATATTATAAGTTGTTCTTAGTGGTCAATAAGAAAAAGTTGAGTTTAATTTAGTTATTTTTTAATAAGAATTTTAATATCAAATTTTAACGAAAATCGTAAACACTACAGTCTTTCAAAACATATATAACCGAAATTCGTTCTGAATCGTTTTTCTTTAGCAATGGTTATCGTTGCTTTCGGATATAAACTAAATAACTTAATGTATCTTAACTTTTTAACTTCACACCTTCAAGAGTAGCATACCCGTCCCCAGTATCAGTACTTAAGACTTATTACCTATATAAAGTTTGAGATACAAATATTGGAAATCTAAATTCAACATAGTCTGTAAGATGTCTTCCGCTTTCAAAAAATAAAATCATCAACGAAATCGAACCACCCTACGAGGTATGAGAGATATTCCGTAAGGCCTGTTTTGAGTCATATAAAATGTATGCAAAATAATACCGTACATTATTTAGGTAAAATATTAGTAAAATAATTATTAAAGTACTGTACAATGTAGTTTTGACATAAAATCAGCCACCGATTACTAAAAAATAGTATTATCTGATTAGTCTCAAAACGAGTATTATAATATATGAATTTTATAACTAACAATTGTGTGGTTTCACGAAAACTTCAGATAAATGTGTACTATTGGCTTTAAAATATAGGTATTATTATTTCTTCTACTTCTTTCTGTACTCTAATCGCTATTTCACTGCACCTAATTTCTCCCGGTCATAAAGATTTTTGATGACAGGTAAAAAAAGGTTGTATTATTTAAATTTGTTTATAAAACTGTCTAAAAGCTTTTATTATAACGAACAAAGATCTATAACAACGCATTTCAAAGGTGAACATAAATACTTGCGGTGTACAAGAAAGAAAAAAAAATAAACATGTGTGGAATTTCACTCCCAGTGGAGTGGCCGCGGTTTAAGTCTAAAAATCTTATACTAAGTTATATATTCTTCGACGTAAGAGTCACCTAATTTCTTGAAAGTTGTCGAATAGTTAAATTGCTACTGGATTGGTGTGTTGACCAAGCCTTTTCTTATGTTTGCGGGCAAACTTGGTAATCTCGTCCTAGATGGAGGTGATCATCATATCCTGGTGATTAATGTCGTTTCTGTCATATCGGTATACTGCAAAATTGGTACGGAAAGCGATGTTCTGGCAACGTTGAATAATCTCAATATTGGACTTGCTGTTACAACCCCACACCTGAATTCCATAAATCCATATCGGTTTAATTGTCATAACGTACAAAAGGCGTTTACTTGTGAGGTCTAGTTCGGAGTGTTTTCCGACCAGCAAATATATCGGATTTTCTTCTTAATTTAGAGTTTCTTCTGACGAACATGATATTTCCAGTTGAGCCAAAAATCAAGATGCATGTCTAAATATTTTCCGAGTCGCTTTATGGGATGATCTGCTGATCTAGCATTATTGGTTTATAAGCAGTTTTATACAATGTGTAATCTACGTGCACCGATTTTTCACTGTTAATTTTGATTTTTCAACGTTTCATCCAGTTGGAAACGTTAATTGACCTTTGGAACCAACCAGTCGTAGTCTGATGGATTTCATTTATTATCATTATTACCGTGTCATCAGCAAACATGACTGTTATTAAATAATTGTTGGTTAAAATGTCCACTGTTTAAAGTAAGTACAGGATTAGTCCAAGGACGCTTCCCTGTGATACACCCGCTGATATCCGTTTTTTCAATCAGTTAATGCTTTTTCGGCCATGTCCCTATAGTATTTATATATATAAACTTATTTATTTATTTTTATTTTATATTTTTTTTTTGGTAAAGGAAAGCTCGTAGGTGACCATCGTTGAAAATCGATCACATATATTTTAGTAATTAAACGGGGAAATACATTAATTTCCCAATGTATTAGATTATAACACACAATATTTAATATCATATCTCACTAAATCGTACTTAACAGTTAAATAGAGGTATATTGACATAATACACTAGCTATTAATTTCATTCTGAAATCATCGTACATAAATACACGTCCCTTTTTATCATACTATTATTATATACCTAAGTTCTAAATTATTAATAATTAGATACTTTATAAACACCTATTTTTGTTACTATTACTTCTACAACTTCGTTTAGTATGTATATCTAATTTAAATGTGATTATCAAAAGTCATTGTAATTTCTAAACTCGTTTTCAAATTTGATAATATATTCTATACATAAAATATTCATTGAAATTAAATAATGCTTACTAACCGTTAAAAATTTTAGGTTTGGTTACCAAAACAGAGACAAAAGAATTACAAAATCATTACATTTTCGTCTTTGGTAAAAATCTACTGCAGCACCTACCCGAGTATGTAAATATTTTATTGACCAAAACGCTTAAAAACACATCTATATAGTTAATTTGATGATAATAACGATCTAATCAAAATTGTCATGACCAAATTGCATAGGCACTCCCTCAAGCAAAAGTGCCCGGCATTGCCCGTGTTAAATTGTTATTAATTTTACCTTAATTTCCGTTTTACTATACCCGTATCAATATATTAAACGAAAAAATATAGGTGAAAAATCGGTAGTCGGCAAACTAAAAGTGTCCTAGTGTCATAAATGTTTTCCTCCGTGTTACCAAAGATACCCGCACAGCACAGACATTAAACTATATATATCCACTATAATAACGCTAAAATTATGAGGACATAATAGTACTATAGTGTTGTTATTGTACCAAAAAACAAATTGATTCTAAGGTGACGTTTTACGTGTTTTCACTTTTCACTTACCAACCCATTACAGCGCATAGTTTTTTTGATTTTTAATCTATGTTACTAAGATAGTCCATCCTATTTCAAGTCAATAATAAACCGACAGACAGTCAGATAGACTGTTTATTTTAAGCTTTTATAGTTATTATGGCATTTTTATTTATTATTTATTTTTATTTCAAATTTTTTTCATTTCATCCGTGTTACTAAGGTGATCCATAAATCAACAAAAATAATTTAATTTTCGTCCCAAAAATACTTAAAAACCTTTCATGTTTTATTTTCGCGACAAAAAGTAGCCTAATATGTTTTTCTCCCATATATAGTGATTGATGATACTAAAATTCATCAAAATTGGAACACCGGTTTAGACGTAAAATAATAATTATTATAAATATGTACATATATGTATATATATGAATATATATATATATAATGATAGACATTTATAGTTAATAGTTATATATAGTATCTAGGTACTTACTTTATTAAAAATTCAATTACGGTAATAATTTTAGTGTAGTTAACAAAAATTTATAATAATTATTATTTTTCCTCCGTCTATACTTCTACCTTAACTCGAGGAAAGGTCCCTAAAATCCCAATTAACTAAAATTTGATCATATTTACATAATAATATTCTTATCGTAATTTTCACGGTAGCGTTCAACAATTACACGACATTAAAGTTTTTTAATGTGTGATGTTTATTTTTAATATTAGTAAATTTATACTCCATGGATACCTAAGTTCAAGTATTTAGTTATTCAGTACATGAATAAGAATAAAATAATATAATGGCAACTCTTGTGTGCGGTACTACGGAAAAGTGCTTCTGAAAGTAATAACAACCAACCACTACATATTTTGATTCTTCCAGTTGTTTCATATATATATTTTCAAAACATTAATAAATTATATTTATGTAAATATAATATTATTAAATTAAAATAATAGGAAAAAACTTGAATAATAATCATGTATAGATATTTCGCTTCGAAAACAAAATATACGAAATTGAACTTACACCCGTATTAGGCCGTGGTTGAACGGTATAAACCAGATCTTGCAAATCACTCTTACAGAGTTGTATCAGCCTAATTGCGTAATGAGTGCATAATATAATATTTATAATTGATTCACAAACCACAATTATTGTCTAGGGCATTTTTAAAATAATGTATAATCAGCTGTTGTATTCAGCGTGTTGGTGATTAAGTTAATCGAATGAATATATAGGTAAATATATAGCGAATACCATATGAACAAAGGAATTCAATGAGAAATAGTCGTATTATTAGATTAACGAGTGACCACTTACGTGCAAAATCATTACCGATGAACGGATATTATCCGTCATTATCTCGGTAATTTTTAATAAAATTTCAACTCCCAGCGTGCGTCATCGTTGCTTAGGTATATTATTGAGGAGCTTTATAGTGGTGAACCGGGTTAATAGACACGGTTTAATACGGCCGAAAACACTGCGATGTATAAATACGAAGAGACGACAAAATGTTATCCATTAAAACCTTGGCGTTTACCGTTATACTTAACCACAGCCTACGACTTCGGTTATAATAATATTACTTACCCCAATATAATTTATACTCCGTCCGTGACAGACTATATTAAACTGCGATTTCAGTTAAAGATTTCGAATCGTATAATATTATACAGATGATTGAAAACATTAAACGTCGTATCGTCGTGCCAGTTCTTTTCTAGTCAATTTTTATTTTCATAAAATTTACAGTTATAGGTTATATACGAGGGCTAATCAAAAAGTATCAAGACTGGTAGTATCGTTCGGAAAAGGAGCATCGAAGAGCAGTAGGATTGGTATCACTTGCTTCTATGACTTTTTCTAAGTACATTTGTTTTTATTGCTTCTCTATAAAATTCTTCGGTTTGATTTCACTGATATTTTTGTAAAATATATTTTTCGAGTTTAGCGATTTTGTAATAAACCCAAAAGAAGAGTAACTTGACAGATTTGGAGATTTTAGAAAATTTGTCTGCATTTTTTTCCAGTTTCAGAGGGATGCAACATTTCATGGTTTTTGCCATTAAATGTCAATTGAAAAACTGAAAATGTGCCCTCGAGTGGCAGCGAGTTACGCTTCTTTTAGATTCATTACGAAATCGCAAAACGTGAAAAACAAATTTTAGAAAAATATCGTCAAATCAAAACGAAGAAGTTTATAGAGATTTTATACGAATAGATGTGCTCAGTATAAGTCATAGAAGCTAGGTTTACAAATCGTTTTGCTCTTCAACGCTCGGTTTCCGAGTAAAATATTACTCATATCAGTCTCGAAACTTTTTGATTAGCCCTCGTATACAGGAGTATATATAATTAACATGTTATATTTTATCATGATTCAGCTTTTTTCTTGAAAAATCTTAATTAAACTTGATTTTATTTTATTTTTATTTTTTAATCCTTACAGAATTTTTTAATTTCATTTCGATAATTTTTACACATTTTTACCATGCGTCCTGTTTTTCAGCCTTGTATCTTGTTATCCTGCCAAACTTCTTTCTTGATGAAAAAAATAAACCTGCATAATTTATAAATTGTACGTATAAAATAATTAACTAACAATTGTTGTGAAAATGGTTAGTTAAACGTGGAATATCTGAATACCTAAAATATAGCGAGTTCAATATAATTTTGATGATATACACATCGGCGGTGTTACGACGTCGCGACGCGTCGTTAGAATAATAATATTTTACAATATTCAAATATTTTAAATAGTTTTAGAGTTTTAGAGTTTTAGTTTTAAAGAGTTTTAGTATACTAATAGCTTTGATATTATTCTAATTAAAATACTACTTTAATGAAAATTATACCCAGCACAGAACAATAATTGTTAGTATGTTTATACGATTTTGATGTTTAAATAACACAATATGTTATTATTTTGGCTAAATCGTGTAGAATCGCAAAAAAGTGATGAATTTGTATTTATATTTAAGAACCCTGTTCTTGGCTTTTTTGTTAATCAAATTGCTAACAAAAATATTTAAAAATTTACAATTAACAAGACTTAACAATTGTAAACAAATAATACAATTAGTTATTATTTGTACAAGTGTCTGGGCGAGACCAATTTCCTACTCAAAACATGGTTTACAAGAAAACTTTCATGTATATTTGTAGATTGATCCAAATTCGATTTTTTTAAAATAAAGATAAATACTGCAGTGGAGTTCTAATTATGTCACCAAAAATTAATAAAAAATAAATTAGTTTTAAAAAATGTTTAAAATTATTCATTTTCGGCTTTATTTAGTAATATAAGTGTAGGTAATACTATACAAAATAGGACGATACTTTGCCAACCATACTTTCTGAATCTATCTTGTAACGTATTACACGAAAAATATGATGAATTCATTGCAAACAGAGCCCGATTTAGGGTTATGGGGCCCGGAGTGGTGGGGCTAAAGACGAATAAGCAAAAAAAAGGTCATCAACAAATCACACATTGTGTGGCTCTTTCCAACTTGCAACCCGAAGAGAGGGTACAGCCTCCTTAAGCCTCATCCCCTTAATACAGCCATCATTGCAAATAAATGTACGATGATATAATACTTTAAATAATGATAGTCAATTTTTGTCTTTTATTAATAATTTTATTCATCGTTGTAATAATCCATTGAAAATAAAACTTTTTAAATTCTGTAGACGTTTTACGAGATTTAATGTTAATTTTTAAGAATGGAATATTGCAAACGTCATAAAACATACACAGTCTACATTTTAAAGAGCTCTCGGTCTGTAATCTGTATACAGTCACATATAAGTATTGAACGAACCCCTATCTATACTACGCAGTAACACTATTAATCTTTATGTATTATATTCTATATCAAATATAAAAAAATATATTTTCCTTTGAAAAGGAGGCTATTGGCAGTATATTACACATGAAATCTTCTCCGAAGTATATTATATACTTTTTATTAGTTAATTTTTGTAACTATTATCTTTAGTGAGGTAACACAAATCTGGATAAACTAAAAATCTAAAAAATTTAATTTCAGCTAGATTCAATTTTAAATTTTAAAATTGAAAAGTTTGATTATTTAAAAGCTATTACATATATTATATTATAATTGTTTGTTTTTATATTTAAAAAGGTAAAAAAAATAAGTACAGGTACAGCCACCGGTGTAGGTGAGAAATTAGAAGGGTAGGATACAAACCGGAGTTTTAATGTTTATCTGTAAGCAACGATAAACTATTGTTTACGAAAAAACGATTCTGAGCGGAGTTCAGTTGACAGTGGTGCTTTGTCAACAATATATATGCTATTTTGTATTGAAATAATTAAATCGGATTTATACATTTTCTTTAATCAAGTTTGATTAATTTTGTACCAATTTTTCTGTTTTTCCTGGTTTTCTCATGTTTTATCCCGATTTTTCACATTTGCTAGAAAAACTCTTGGGAAATTCGAAAAAAAACCTCTTTAGATAACCTCCCCACTCCAATTTCCTTTCAGAAAAAGTGATACGCGTAGAAATCCGAGCAAGTCTTCTGGTAGAGAAGTTGCGCACAGATAAAAAAAAATAAATAAACATCTTTGTCAAACAATAAGCTTCTTCACTCCACTCAGAATCCAAAAGATGAAGTTAATTATTTTTAAATACAGTAACAGATTAAGAAGTCACCCAAAGAAAGGGGCGAATTTTCAAAAATGAAATTACTTTTAAGATTTTGAGTGGAGCGAAAGAAACTTATGATTTTACAAAGATGTTTATTTTTTGTTTTTTTTTTATCTATGCGCAACTTCTTTACCAGAAGCTTGCTCAGATTTCTAAGTGTAGTTCGTTTTCTGAAAGGAAATCGGTGTTGAGAGGTACTTTTAGAGCATTTTTAGATTTTCTTGAGAGTTTTTTCAACAAATTTGAAAAACCGAAAAAACCGGGAAATATGCGAAATATATTACTAAAATTACTTATTTTTTTTCTTGTGCGCAAATTTTCTACCAGACATTTTGCTCCAACTTTTAATAATAGCAATGTTTTTAAAAAAAAATCTCACTAGGGAGAGAGATAATTTTTCGATTTGCTCAGGGTTTTCCCTGCAAATGGGAAAAACCGTTATAAAACATGGGAAAATCTGGAAAAACGTAGTGAAACCAGGGAACTCGGTACAAAATTAAATAATTATTTTTAAATAAATCATATAGATCCTATTTAATTATTTTTTTATTATATGGCATACATATTGTTGATAAAGCATTCACTATCAACTGAACTCCGCTCAGAATCGTTTTTTAATAAGGAATGGTAAATCAATATTTACAGATATGCGTTAAATTATATATAGAAGTGACTGCACCTGTCCCCAGTCTTATCCTAAGACGTATTTCTTCTTTTTAACCTGTATTGGAGGTTAATTTGTATTATTTCTATGAATTCATAAGATAAATGGTATACAAGTATACGACTATACGAATGAACAAGTCGTATAATATATTATTAAGATATAGGTACGTATATATAATATCATTGGTTTTATGAAATACAGATAAGATAATGTGTGTTCTGCTGTTTCCCAATATTTTCTGTGACAGTTAATAATTTATTATTAGCGATTGAACGATTTCCGGTGATACGCATTTAGATAATCCGAATTATAAGAATCAAATAAAAATTAAAAATAAGTCTGAAATTTAAAAATGACTAATTATTTATTTAGAAATTATAAGACAAAGTAAATTTTTCTATTTTATAAGTGTTTTTCGTTAGTTATAAATTAGTCAATAAGTTAATAAGTTAATTTCCACTTATCTTCCTTTTTTTATAAATTTAAACCACTCAAAACTGCAGATTATAAACAAAGACCACTATAACGAATAACGATAATACGTGTTATTATCGTTGAAACACGTTTAATTAAAACAGGAATAACGTATTTTTTTTTTTTTACTAATACTAGTATTCAACAATTTTAACAAAGGTTCATTATTATAAGTTGTACCAAGTTAAAAAAAAATGCGAATATTCTTGTGAGCTAATGTAGTTCGTAGTTTATTTTTATAAAAGTTATGAATTGAAATCAATAAAATCAAATTAAAATTAATTTTGTAATTTCAAAATTTGAAGTGTATGATCGTAGTATAGTCCAAATTTTCGAATAATAAATATTAGAAAATGTATTACCTACCTACAGTTCTATAAAACGTGTGCCAATACCAAATAAACACTGATACAATCGTTAGATAATTCGCAATAATAAATAGTAATAGATATTTTCTGGTACCAAGAGAAACTTACCACGGCACTCAAATGGGTCAACAATTTTTTCAAAAATTTAAAACTTATGCGAGAATATATAGTTTAGAGTGTGATGGTTCTTAAATTCGTAACCCAAAATTGATTGCTATGATAACTAATGATTTTACAAATTCATACTTACAGCATACTGAGTATAACTATTGTTAGCAATATAGATTGCTCGTCCAAAATATATTGATTTCCTATAAAATGCTATCCACGCCAATATATAGGCCTGGCGAGAGGGAGGGACAGCCTGGGCTGTAGCTCTAAGGTCTCAAAGAGGATTCGGACCTGATTGCTTTGATCATATATTTTACCTAATTCTTACATTAACATAAAAATAATTTGTAGTTTAATTTCATAATATTTCACTTAAAAAATCTATACATATTATATTAAAAATTAAATGTTAATAATATAATAATTACTATGTACCATATTTATGTGTTAGTGGTTTTTGCTTAAACCTTATTTTTGTTGTAGACATTTTAAAGGACAATAATTGGCGTTAATAGAAGGTTAAATATTTAACACATTGGGAAGGATAAGTTTGTCCTTGGGGCCCTTAATTTTTCTCCACAGTCTAATCTACAACTAGGATTAGGTAAGACTGACCAGGCCAAGGGCATATCATATCAGGAAAAGGGGCAAAATCCGGAATTCATACTAAATAAAAATATACATTTTTAAAAGGAATTAGATCATGTTGAGTATGAGAACGGAAATTTGTGTATAGCCAGAGGCGCTTAAAAGCATTGTTATGGTTCTGCCGGTGTAACCGATTATAAATCTGATGTTTACTCCGTGGACTTATCAATTAACATCGTCAATGTGAAAACCGAGAATTTTCACTTGACGAATAAACCGTTTCTAACAAATTAATTTCTATGTTTTATTATGAATAATAATATAATTGGTTTAGTAAACATTTACATTTGGTTATTTAAATTTTAAATATTCAACAGACATCTGTTTTTGTCAAGTATATAATATGTATATTATTTTAAAATTTCCATTACCGTTATAATTTTCCAAAGTTAATTTAATGTAAAGAATAAATTCACTGTCTCAATTAACCCACCAAATTCACTCAGGCGACTGTTATTTTAATGTACCTAGGTACCTGTGTATCTCTATTACGCTTGTTTATACATCAGTTCATTGAAAAATGAGTCATCAAGCAACTCGTCAAATTAAGAATAAATAATTTTTGTAAAAACACATATATTAAATTTAAATCTAAGCTAAATTATAATAATCCTATTTCTTAGTATATGGTTTATGAGGAGCGGTTATTTTTAATTAGATGTTTAAATTTTAAAATAATATTAAACAAACTTAAACAATAAATATTCATTTATTTCAAATTACTCTATAACTAGATATCTATCCTACGTTTTCCAAACTTCCCAACTCTAACAGTAGTATATACTACTCATAGTACAAAGTATTATGTCTTCCTTTTCTTTTTTATGAACATTAAAATAAACGATTCCTTTTCGGAATAATTCAATAAGATTATGATAACTATTAACTTTGAATAAAGTTTACACAAGTATCAATGGTTATTAATTAAAACTCATCTAGATACCACAAATAAAATGGTTAGTTTTAGATACTGTTTGGTGTGGAGCAAAGAAGCTTATTATTTTACAACGATGTGTATTTTTTTTTATCGGTGCGCAACTTTTCTGCCAGAAGACTTACTTTAACTTATGATGACAGAAATTTTCTAAAAGGAAATTTTACTAGAGAGGTACTTTAGATCAATTTTTCTATTTGCTCATCAAATTTGAAAAACCGAAAAAAATAACGGGAAAATATAAGAAATTTAAGTGTTATTTAAAATATATTACAGCCTTCTTTTTTTCTGTGCACAACATTTCTACCAACAATTTTGCTCCAGCTTATAATGATAGCAATGTTTTTAGAAATACATTTCACTAGGGAGGTACCTTAAAAAAGTCATTTTTCGATTATCTTAAGAGTTTTCCCAACAAATATGAAAAACCGTGATAAAACATGGGAAAAACGTAGAAAAACTGGGAAATCAATACAACATTAAATAAATATTATTAAAGAAAGTATATAAATCCTATTTAATGATTTTACTATAAAATGACATATACATGATCAATGTATCAATATCAACTTTTCGACCAAACATATTTTTCTGACAATTAACTTTCTGGTAAGGAATTTTGTCTAATTGCTGCATTGCGTACAACAACTTTCTTACGAATAAAAATAATAATAATAATAGTAATACTTTACTCCACTGTAACACGGAAAGTCTGTCTGAACCACATAAAGACTAATTATTATTTATTTCACTGACTTGGTAGAACAATAACAACCCCGGCTCTGTATAATGGAAACTATAAAAACATTAAACACAGAGGTCTACATAACGTACATAACTTTGCGAGTTTTGTACGTAATTTTTATTCGGTAGGTACTCAGTGGTAAAATTGTTAGACTTGAACAGAAATGATTAAAAACTTAACAGGAATTTCATTAGAAATTTAACTTTGTAGTTAAAAAAAACGAATTAAGTTTAATATTGTATTTTTTTTTTTTTTCATAATGGAATTTTAATATTCAATTTCGACGAAAATCGTTTGAGTAAAAAATTATGTGAAATAAATCTAATTTATCAATTTTTTTTTTTTTTTTTTTAAACATATGTATATTGCCCATTTAAAAACGATGGAAAAGTCAAAATTAAGCAGACTGACTAAGATTCGAAATTATATTTTTTTGAAGTTCTGATATTATGTGGATATTATAATATGTTATGTTAAATAACTCTATATTGTATCTATTCAAGCATATTTGTCATGATCTAATGGTTATTTATGCCTAGAGGTTCCGAGTTCAAACCATTGTTTCGTAAAAAAATTGTTTGCATTTTTTTCCTTTTACCTAAACAAGAAAAAAACAAACGCATTTTAGGTATACCTAGAGACCCAAGCTATCACTCGCTCGGACTATTTCAATCGCAAAATACCCCTCGATTTTTTTGTGCAAACTTTTCTACCAGCAATTTCTTTCCGATTTAAAAATGACAGCACTTTTTCTGAAAGGAAATCTGACTGGAAAGGTACTTTAAGGAGGTCATTTTTCGATTTTTCCAAGAGTTTTCTCAGCAAATGTGGAAAACCGGGAAAAAACGTGGGAAAACCGGGAAAACGTAGGAAAAACGGAAAAATCGGTACAACATTAAACAAATATTGTTAAAAAAAATATATAATGCATATTTAATTATTTTACTATAATATGACATATATTGTTGACAAAAAAATCACTATCAATTTAACCCAGCTCAGAATTATTTTTCGTCAGCAATGGTTTATCATTGCTTACAGATATATATTAAATTCCTTTCTGTATCTTACCTTTCCAACTTCCTACCTACAAAAGTGGCTACAACCCACATGTGAAGTATGTCGTCTTTTATTTTATTTTCCTTGTAGATTTCTTAATAAAGTCTAATAACAATTTATTATATAATTTTTGTTGATTTCTGTGTTACCTTGATAACAAGAGAAAAAATACAATCAATAATATTCTGCTCAGAATCGTTTTTCGATAGAATTGGTTTATCGTTATATACAAATATAAATTAAATTACTCTATATATATTCTTTCTTCCAACTTCTATCCTAAACCAGAGGCACACCAACAGCAGTATAAGCTTAGTATTTAAATGTATGCATTAAGTAATTTATCTACTAGACACTCCCCTTAAGAGATTTCTGGCTACTATACATAGGTATACACTTACCTACTTAAGAAAATTAAATTTTGATTTTACTTCCAGGAGATAAAGAAGTGAAGATCGGCGAGTATAACGGAGTGACGGGCACGTTAGATTTGAGCGTTGGCGAAGAGGTGAAGTGGAGAGCTGGCGGCAAAGGTCCACCCAAAGATCGGACGCTTACTATTTATGAAGACTCTCATGTGAATGTTGGAGTTTACATAGGACTTGCCGTCGCTGCGGTCATTGGTATCATCTTTGCCACCGCGTTCCTTATTGTCAACATCCGGTATAGAGACCAAAAGTAAGTGTTACCAAAAACACCAATTCGTAAACACAATCCTCTAATCAAACCAACATAGACAAATATTGACTGGTTAGGGAACTACCCTCCACCCCAAAAATAATCATCCAAGATTTTTTAGCGGAACCTTAGAATTAAGTATTGACAGTCTTATATTTAATAACTTTCTTTTTGCTTTATGGTGGGGCCCCAGGTAAAAATATTCAAAATTCAAAATATCCTATTCAAAATTTAAAAACTAATGGTTCAATTTAGTATAGTTATTGGCAATTAAAATCAAAAAAGTACATTGATGACATATCACAGGGCTACATAAAATTATTAAAAGAATGTGAATTTTTTCCTCAAGTAAAAAAATGTATACTAATATACTTTACGTTACCACCTACAACTTACACTGAAGAAAAATCTTTCAGCACTTTGTGCAGTCAAGATATAGCTAAGGTCAGCAATAAATGAGGAAAGGCCTAATGGACTATGCAGTGTTTATAGGGAAAAAATTGACGATGAAGAAACACAACCTGAATTTATTGACAATGTTATAAAAAATTTTGGTCTTATAAAAAGAAACTAACAATTTTTATTTCCACATCAATAGGTATTTCATATTATAATAATATTTATTTTTATATTTTATTACAGTATAATTTATTGATTTCAGAAATTAATCGTATTTTTAAAGCTAATGTTTACACAATTACATACTCTTTCTTCCTCATTCCTTTTCAAGAAATACCAATACCTAGTATCTATATTTATATGCTATAAATAGGTTTTGGAATCATTAATTAATTTGGTTTAATTTTGTCTCTCCCCTGAAAACTACCCTATGGACGCCCATCAGTGGTGTATTTAAAGGAGGGCGATGAGGCGATCGCCCCCTTACCAATTAATTTGTGTAGGTATTTGCTATATACATATATACAAAAATTTAATATTGCTAGAAAAGTGTCATCAGATACAAAAATAAAAACACTTCATGGTAAGATAAATAGGGTAGAATATATATAAGCTTGTGTTTATACCTTGTGTATAATAATTTTAGTGCCCCCCCCCCCTATAAGACTATAAGACTAAGTCAAGAAGGCCACTGGCGCCCATGTCTGTAGATAAATTGTAAAACACAACAAAAGTGCCCGAAAATTGTATGGAGGTTCATTATAAGTCGTGCATAGTGGTCAAAAAAAAAATTTAGTTTAATGTAGTATTTTCAATTTTTAATAAGAATTTTAAAATCAAATTTTAACAAAAATCGTAAATATTATGTCCTTTCAAAATATGTATTACCGAACTTTGCTGTGAATCATTTTTCGTTATTAATGGTTTATCTTTGATTACAAAAATTTTAATTAAATAACTCAATATATCCTATCTTCCCTACAAAACCACCCCCACATTACCACACCCATCCCCAGTATCAGAACTATATATATATATTTTAAAATATATTCTTTATAATCAATAAATTAAAATTATTAATAGTGCATATTAAACTGAAAGTTAGAAGATAATTTGTGGTTTTAGGTATTCCATTTAAATCTTCTAGTGTTAAAAATATTGTGATGTGCATATGATGCATATGACCCGATCATTTAACGATGCACTTATTGTTTTATGAAAAAGATTAAAAAATCAATAGTGATGTGTAAATGATAAACGCCCGATAATTTATAATAATGTGGTCTTCACTTGTAACAGTTTATTTGTCAATGCCTTTTTTTTATTTTTTGTGATCCCATCAGTCCGGGGACTCGCTTAATTATTTTAAGCAAGTAAATGAAAAATAATAACATTCAATGTTATATTCATTGTAACAACTCGCGGTGGTAGCCACGATGCACTCGGGACTTCGTAATGACGTATTTATGTAGGCAGTGAATACGGGAAAACAATTGCCTCGAACGACCGTGTGACCCTTTTCAAAGGAAGACAGCGGTGGTTAAATTGCATATGGATATAAACCTGTATACGTATATACCTACCAAAACTGTCGTATCCCTTTCCAAATTATTTTCCGAGCGGAATTCAAATAGAAATACTTGATTTAGTATATACGACGTGTTATCATGATTCAGCTATTTTCTTGGAGGATTTTAAGTAAATTTGATTTCTGTTTATTTTTATTTTTTTAATCGTTCCGGATTTCTTTATTTTTACAACTATTTTTCAAAATATTTGTATGCCTACTCCTTATACCTTAAATAAGTATTCACTTTTGATTTTCAAATTACAACCCTTTTTTGAATCTCCTTGTCTACTCTTTTTTCAATTCAGATTCGAAGCTATACTTCTAGTCTTAAAATTTTAATATGCTTAATAATAATATTGGATATACCATTTGTCAATTATAGATTATAATGGTTTAAAATTTAGAACAAACGTGTAAGTCAGTACATTTCATATTCATTTTTAGACGGTAACCATTTCCTACACCTCCTGACTAAATTTTAAAATTTAAACTGTTATACTTATTTAAAGTACACAAATTAAGTATGCCTGAAAACCACAAAAATCAGTTTTAATGATTATAAAATGTTATCGCATTTACAAAGGACTAATAAATGTGTAAGTATTCGATGAAAATTTCAAGTTTCAACAATTACTCCTAACCGAATACAAAATAAAAAATCAAACTCGAAAATAACAAATGCCAATATTGTATAAGTATTCCCATTTTTATGATGTTTTAACCAGGTTATTCCTAATTATTTAGAAAACTACATGGGGTACACAAAATGATCTCTTAAATGCACCATCAGATAAAATTTTCTAACCACCCTTGATGATTATAGCAAGATTTCGAGTATATTCACAGACAATTTAAAACGATTGACACTCAAACTACCTTATATAGTAGTTATATGGACTCTAGTTTAATAATCCATAATGACTTTCAATTTTATTTTGCTTTGGATAAAAAAAAAAAAAAACTAGAAAAATAAGTTTAAATGTGGTTTCAGATACATAAAAATGTCCAGCCCTCACCTGAACAATCTGATAATCATCGGAGCCATGTTAACGTACACCAGCGTCATATTCCTGGGTCTTAACAGCCGTATGACCAGCATCAACGTATTTCCGTACATTTGCGCAGCCCGCGCGTGGTTGCTGATGGCCGGATTCTCGTTGGCATTCGGTGCGATGTTTTCCAAGACCTGGAGGGTGCATTCGATTTTCACAGACATCACCATCAACAAAAAGGTAGGTAATCGAAAAAGATCGAATCGTCTTTTTATTTCTAAATGGATGGACGTTTCATAAAACCAACTGCTACACGATTCCGCAAATTCGTGGAACTGTGTATATTTTAATATACATTGATATACATACACGGTGTTAAATGCAACGCTTTCATTATATTTGTTTATTATCGTTATTATAAATTTTTATTTTTATTTTTTAATTTATAATATGTATAAATGTGTTATATATGTATTATAATTTAAAATTCAATAGAACCAGTATAAAACAGTATAATTTAAGTTAGTTTGTGGGTGACCTTAGTTACATAGAAAAAAAACTATTATTATTTAATTTGGTTGTTATAAAGCAATTATGTGACGGGAAACTTTCATACAATATATATATGTATAAAATAACATGTCCTGACTGACCGATTCACCATCGCCTTGCCTAAACCACTGGACGGATTTGGCTGGAATTTTGGCATACGGATAGCTATTAAGACGTAGGCATCTTCTAAGAAAGGATTTTTGGAAATTCAACCCCTGAGGGGGTCAAATAGAGGTTTTTAGATATATTTGATACGTACAGGTAAGACGTTCGGTTATTGTTTATTTTGCGTGTGTCCGTTATCGCTGTTCAGGTTTTTCGTAATGGCTCTCACGTGTTATATTTGCTCTTCCGTAACTTATCGAAATACAGCTTCTGTTACTTATGGTGACTATAAGAAAAATACAGCTCACAGTAATTGTTTCCCTACTTCTAGATCCTCCCAGAAAAATGTCTTGTGGAAATTTAGTTAGTATTCACCTTCAAACTTGAATTTACTCTCAAAAATCGGTAAAATGCATGACTTCTTAATATCTGCTAATAATAAAATAGATAACTTAGTTGCCGAATATACTCACTTTCATAAAAAATTATGTTTACTGGAATCCAAAATTGTTGAATTAGAATCAAATTCGTCAACCAATGACAACACGCCCTATTCAAACATAATCAACGAATTGCAAGATCTCTAATCACGTGGAAAAAATATAATTTTCTTTAACGTCTCTGAATCTAACAACGATGTCGATGATTCTTTAGTTATTAATGATGTTTTCTCTATGATAGGTGCGTCGATCTTAGAAGACTAAAATATAGGGATCTAAACTATTTTTTTTATTGAAATTATATACTAAAAACTTAAAATATAACTAATTTATTTCTTTTTTTTATTAATGATTTATTCCTAAAAACTTCATGGTTTTTTTATGGGTAATTTGAAAGTGGTTCGACTATACTATCGCACACCAGCGCATATGAATTTGAACGATGTAAATCGAAAAATGCGTGTATAATACGCAGCAAAAAATTAATTAAGATATGTATATTATGTTCTTTTATATCATTTAAAAACTATATACTGCTAAAATATGTTTTAAAAAACAAAAAACTATAAAATATTCAATTATATACAAAATAAAATTTAGGATTTAGATTCCTTACATGAGTAGTATTTACGTTTGACACTTCTATTTGTTTAATATTTTAAAAAAAAAAGTGCAAATGCTAGAAGTCCCGAATTCTAGTTATAAGTATATATTATTTGTGCCCGTACGAAATATGATTCCTAAAACCACCTCTGTCTCCTGCCTCCCCCGTGGTATATTTAATATGGCGTCTAAACTAAATGAATGTGAATTGTGGCAATAGGCATACAAATTCATGTTAAATAATGGCAGAAAAAAAAATTGAAATTGTTGAATGGTTGGTAAAATGTAGGTCAGTTATTGATAAAATAATGTAATAAATTATCTTTAAATTTACAATATCTATATACTTTACTATTAATAATGCTGCCTAGAACGTTCACTTAAACTAAATAACTATAAGTTTCGTCTACAGTCATTTTGATTACTATTTGTCTGTCTACATCGGGTTCGACCGATATTTTATTTTCTGAAATAATCTAGAAAAATCATTTTACACAAAAATATCTGTTAGCTATCAACACACTTCGTTGATTTTTTTTTCAATCACACCCGTTCGTTTAATATTGTTTATTTATTTGTATGGACACGTAAAATAATGATTAACAGATATCCTCCTTAATAATAACGCTTAATTTGATTTCTTCTACCATGATTAATGGATATAAATAATAAATTAATAAAAAAAAATTGATAATAATAAATATATAAAAATCTAATAATATGGAAATTCAAATACAATATAATAACGAGATTATTAAAATTTAAACATTGATAGTCGTAGCAAATGGTATTTACAGTTTAAGATCGAGATTCATTATTCACGTCACAGCACTTAGTGGTAGATTAACCGAGCACCCGTTGTATTTTCTAATTAGGCATTCGCTGACGATGTGAAATATTGTTTGGTTAGGATAATTGTCATAGTAAAAATGAAGTTCGCACCTAATACGATAAAACGCGAAATCATAAGAAAAACCTTGTTTATATACAATATTATCAACGTCCGTGGAATATTATAACCCGGTCTTTAACCGTTTGTAGATATTGCCATATTATGCGAGTGTGTGTGGGTGTGTATGCGTTTTTTTTCCTACCTATTATAAAATAACAAATTGTTAAATAACAAATTTAAACTAGAACAGGATCATTTTAAATATTACTTGAATTATATATACAATATTGCAGATTGTTAAAGACACGCAGCTATTCCTGATGGTGAGCATACTTTTGTGTATCGACCTGGGAATAATGTTCACGTGGCAGTTTTCCGATCCGTTTTACAGGGAAACTAAACAAATGGAATCATACGTGAGTATATCGTAAAACGATGGCACTGTTGCCCTCCGTATAATATAATCCCGAATGCAACATTGGCGTATAACAATAGTCATAAAAAGACGACAAACGCGATTTTACTTAAGACATCAGCGGAAGTGAATACCCCGTATTCAATTTCGCATTATATAATAGGTACCAAATAATTATTTACATCTACAAAACGAGTAGATAATTTCATCGATTAATAGGTAGTTATAGGTTAGGTAACTCATTAAATAAATATAATAGCCTGTATAAACCGACTGTCACTCGAATTTTAGATTCGGAGCACAGCATGGGATCTATTGGTTTTACTGTGGTATTTTTTTTTCCTGTCTGTGAACAAATGTTCTACTAAAAATATTACTCCGATCGAAAAATGACAAAATTTCGATTTTGTTCCTTTTAATAAATAACCACTAACAAAAAAAGTAATTTCTGAATTTTAAAATCAAATTTTGACTAAAATCGTAAATATTACGGCCTTTCAAAACATTTAAAACCAAACTCCGTTCCAAATCATTTTTCGTTAGCAATAGTTTATCGTTGGTTACAGGTATAAATTAAATAACTATGTATCCCTCCTTTCAAACTACCCACCTACAACAGTGGCCTCACCCGTTCCCTTATCGGCTCTTTTTTTTGTTTCGTTTTTATTTTACCAATAGATTAAAAAAATATTTAAAAAATGAATCAAATCAGAGCTTCGTTAAAATATAAAGTTTATTTTTAAATTATTACTAAATAATAATGTTTTTTGTTTGTTTTTTTTTTTTTTTAATATTATTGTCTGGGAGATAAACAGATATCAAATTAAATATAAATTTGTTCTGCGAAAAATGTATTTATAATTATGTTGAGTTAACCTGCTCGATGTTTTTTATTTCATTCACTGTAGAACCTGAATACGTACTGTATACTAAGATTATAGAATTATTATTAAAAATCAATTACACTGGCAATATCAATACAATATCAAAATTAAATTAATATTAAAAATAATGTTAATCAAACTGTAGATAGGTACTAACCAGAACTACTTTAATCAAATAACTACAGTAGTAAACTGTATTTAAAAAAACATTCGACTGGTTTTTTTTTTTGATTGATTGATAACCAGTTTCGCTGTACGGTTGTGAACAAAATAGCTTAGTCTTAGAAATATATTGATGAAAGAGGAATGGAAATGGGATGATAACTTTAAGTGATTTTTTGAACAATATTATTACTTGGGGCTTAAAATATACTCACGATATATTTTTCAATCTTATTAAGCCATTAGTTTGATTAAATTTGTTTTACATTCAAATAAAAGAATTCCGGTTTTAATATAAAAATTTGCAGGAAACGAAATATGTCAGAGACAGCAAATAGTTTTTTTAACGGCCATGTATATGGTTTTTTAATGTTTAAATGTATAAAGTATACTGCAGATTATTATTTCATTGCATTACCGTTTATGTTTAATTTGAACTAAAAATATTTGTATAAGGTATGAAAAATCGTTAGATAGGGGAAAAAATAATAATATACAATCAACAAAAATGATGTCGTGTAAAAATATATATGAAAAACGGCAGTTGATGAAAAAAATAATAATATAAATATAATTTTGAAAGAAACGACAAAAAAAGAATTCTAAATGAATCCTTTGTACGTGTTTTAAAATTAAAAGCACGCTCTGTTGGCCGTATATAGCGGCGGAAACGTGTTTGTTGTTTCGTTTTTATTTTTCACTTTATATATAGCAGTGTCTTGAATAATATAATATGTGTTGCGAACGATCCAAAAACATTTTCACCGGGCGATTTTGGCAAAAATACTTGGCCTTCAACATTCATTCACACTATATATTATTACATAATAAGATTTTCTAGAGGTCATCGGAATACAAGGATATTATATATATATATATATTTAGTTCACGCTAAGAGGTACCATTAAATATTTTAGTTCAATGACCTAATATTGAAATGGAATTTTCGGAGAATGATAGGGAGTACCCAAATACACATTTTCAGACAAATCTCAAATGTTTAACCTTTTTGGTAGAGTAATACAACAGAAGGCAACATTATTTTTTTTTTTACAGATTTAGACAGAGAATTTTTTTAAAACAATTGTTTTGTAATAAGTTTTTTCTAATCACAAAATTGGCAAAGTTACAGTATGTTATAATTTAATATTTACGAATAATCTTTAATTGATGAAATTTTAACTATGTTCATTATTTATACTAAAGTATCGAAATAATTATATCTCCGATATTGTGAAATACTTGTTTATAAACAGTTAAAACACAAATAAACACTTCAGTTCTTTTTATGGAGGCATTTAAAAAATATTGTATTTGTGGATCCTCCTAATAATGTCCAAAATTAAAAAAACAAATTACGAGTAGCATGTAATAATTTGAGGAAAGACCAAATAAACGCTGCAACATCAAGAGATTTTGTAAACCGTTTGGAATCATGTTTGGAACACCAAAACGGAAATATTGAACAATTTATTTGATAAAACTATAGTTGCAAATAAATACATTTTAATTTCAAATGTATAGCGTGTACATTTTTATAATTTTCATTTGCTTCGATTTATTTAGGAAGAATAAATGATAAAAATAAAACTAAATTACGAAAACAGTGTTTATTTGTGTCTTATATCTATCTACAAACAGGTATTTTAAAATATCAGAGATGTCATTTAGATTTTCGAGTACAAGGTGAACATAGTTAAAAATTCGTCAATAATAGATTATTTGTAAATATTAAACATACTATATTTTACTATACATATATTTCAACATAAAAAATATTTTACACAAAAATTGTTTTTTAAAAGTACTCTATCCGAATCTGTAAGAAAAAAATGATGTTACCGTTTAAAAATAAATTAGTTGCATTGCGTATACACGTACCAAAAGTGTAAACAATTTAAAATTTGTCTGAAAATGTGTATTTGAGTACTCCCTATCATTCTCCGAAAATTCCATTTCAATACTAGATCATTCAACTGAAATATTTAGTGGTACCTCCTAGCGTAAACGCACTGTATGTATATACGTATATACGTATATATATATATATATACATAGAGCTATAACAAAAAAATATTATAACTCATGCAATTACACACGTTATCTAAATATTACCCTAACCACAACAAAAACTATTAAAAGTAAAAGAACCAACGGTTTGTCGTTTTCGTTCTTTTTTCTGGTTTCTTTACTGTTTAATTCAAATAATTCTTCAAAATTTGTAACTATTGCAGGTACCAATTATGTACAATAAAAACAGTTATTTTAGGAATTTTTAGATTTTAAGCGAAGCTCTCGCTTCGTGCATTCCTCGATGAATTAAATTTACTAAGATTAATTTTTTTTTTGTGCCTGTAAACAACTTTTTTAACAGATGAATTGTTCAAATCAAAACCATTACAGACACTTTCTTAAAGAATATTTTATCTAGTTGGTACATTAAGAAGGTTATTTTTTAATTTTCGTTGTGACTTTCCTAATAAATATTAAAAATTGAAAATTGTTTGTATAATTTTGATTGGTTTCTGGGTTACCTTGGCAACAAAGAAAAACATCGAATAATACCCTACTCAGAATTTGTTTTTCGTTAACGAATCACCGTTAAACCATCAGGTTTATATATAAATTAAATTTCACTTTATTATATCCTTCCTTCTACCTTCTTTCAAAAACAGTGACATCATCATCAGTATTAGCCTTTTTTCCACCGTATTTTTTTATTTCTGCAGCCTCATCCACACAACGATGACATAGTGATCATCCCGTGTAACGAATACTGTCAGAGTGATCATATGACCGTGTTTTTGGCAATCATATACGTCTACAAGGGATCACTAATGGTATATTACCTGTTTTTCTTTTCATATAAGCCGGTTAAAACACAATTTACAATTTTATTGTTATTATTTTTCAGGTTTTTGGAGCTTTCCTGGCTTGGGAAACGCGACACGTAAGCATACCGGCGTTAAACGACTCCAAGTACGTGGGCATGAGCGTGTATAACGTGGTACTGATGTGCGTCGCTGGCGCGGCTATTTCCTTCGTTCTGAATGACCAACAGGACGCGTCTTTCATCATCATATCAGTGTTTATATTGTTTTGTTCCACTGCCACACTATTCTTAGTGTTTATACCAAAAGTGGGTATCACCTGTACATATACTTAGAAAGCCTATGCCTATACTAAAATAATGGTGAACCACGCATTACGTACTGATTTGTTGCCCTGGTTATCTGTTATTTATATTCATATTCTATGGTCCATGGATCATGAATTATAAACCATGAATCACTCTATTGTATCCTACATTGAAGTATTATATAGTCTAGTGGTTTACTAATACCTATTGACTATTACCATCAACATTTCAAAGTTCTCTGCAACAAAATAACTTAATATTTTATAAAAAATAATATATTTGTTCTCAATAACATTTAAAATTGTTTAGATGATACCTCTTATACATAAAACCTTAAACCATCCATCTGTATCTCTGTCTGTATTGCATTTTTAGATATTAAAGGAATAATAGAATGGCTAGAAAAACAGATTACCCTCTCCTAACTTATCCGAATCGGTCAAAAAAATATTTATTTTTTTTTTATTCAGCAAAATAGATTTTTATCTATTGTTTTTTTATTTGTCTATGCGTGATCCACTGATAAATCTATCACATGCAGATGTCTGGAAATTTGCATACAGAAGTGAATGAACAGGTCCTTGTACACAATGCACTTCGAAGTTAAATTTTCAAAATTCTTCCCCTAAATAGTGACTGATACAGCGATTTCAGTATTTTTGATTCGAAAATTAAATTATTTTTATTGATCTATAAGTTATCTTTATGAGTGGTTACACAAATTTCACGTAGTAATAGAAAATCGTACCCATGTTTCTACACATGAAGATGCGGATAAAGTAAAAAGAGAGATATGGGTAACGGGTTGGGGAATTGAGACACTTTAAACTATTGTATACAGGTGTCATTGTGAGTTCATTCCCATTTTACTAACATCTGATTTCGCCGACTCCAGTTTTGCCGATAACATTTTCTTTTATTAATACTTACCTGTGACGTATGTTGCTTGAAGTACACCTACTCATGATCCCATCCCACTATAGCTCATATAAAAAAAACTTGTTTACACTGTCATTTTTGCAAGGATCACACTAGTTTTTTTTAAATTACTTGAACTTTAACCAAAAATGAAACATAAATTTAAAAAAAAAAATGTATTTATTGAATTTGTACATAATTGAAAAAAATTAATTTAAAAATTGTTATTGTCAATAGTTTTTGTATTTTTGATAAAACTAAATGTATATTTAGTTTAACTCATGCCACGATTGTGGCGTTCGAATTTCTTTAGTAATAATAGTTTTATTGCAACAATAATATTTCAATTCAGTCGGCTAATAACTCTTTCAATTAATTTCGGTTTTTAAAAAGATTTTTATTTTTATTTTGCTTTTAAATTATAAAAAGGGGAGTATTAAATTGGCATAGGCCACGACGGCTGGGACACCTAATATTATCATACAAATTAAGAATTTTTTATGAAGAAAAAACAAACAATAACAATTTAAGTAAACCCTGGAAGTTCTACTTTTTTTTTTATTCGAAAAACCCATCCTTACAAGTTGAATGATCCTAATCGTATATACTTGAAGTTTAAATAAAATTATATTGTCATCGTATTTTTGTAAAACTGATTCCACTAACAGAGTTGGGTTTTTATTAGATTTTGAATAAAATAAGTACCTAGTAAGAATATTCTTTTAGATTTTTTTTTTTTTTTGCTTTGACTCTAATCAAATTGTTTTTATTATATTTACAAAGTATATAGATAACTAAATAGATTTAATATATTCAATAGAAATTTCAAATATTCCACAAATCTGAATTGTATTTCAACAAAAGTACTACAAACATTGCAAAAACAAATAGTTGTATGTAAATTCGTGTGGGTTTTTTTTTAATTTAAAAATATTAAATACAACCCGAGGGAAAAATCCTCTGAATATAACTACCTAACATTTTTCTTACAATTTAATGACTCTCTTGTTGGTTCGGAGTTTATAAATATTATTATATTTTTAGTTGTCACTCACCAGAAACATTTTTTTATAAACGATTTGCATTCACATACACAATACTGTAAATAATAGATAAACATATATGATTACATTAGAATTTACCCGTATAGATTGTAGAATTAAAACGAAATCCACAAGGAGTAGATAAACGAATACGAGCGACTCTGAGGCCAATGTCCAAGACCTACAAGGACGTATGTGATACCGAGGAACAAATCCGGGCTCAAAAAAGTAAAAATCAGCAATACCGACAGCAGTTACTGGACGTAGATCGAGAAATCGACGCGATGGTATTGAAGATCGACACGTACCGAGCTCACAAGTTATCAGAATTAAGTTAGTTTTATTAAGTTGCACATTAAATATTGAGTTTAGAGGACATTACAGTAACATATTTTCTATTCAAATGTCTTTCTAGCAAGTTATATAGGTAGCACAAATTATTTTTCAACGTTCCAACTTTCGTTAAAACAGACTTATAACAAAATATATCATTTCACCCAATTAAAGGCGACAACGTTTATAACTATGTTTTCGGTGCTTACATAGGGATTTTTCAATATCTAATTCTAATGGATAATCAGCTATTAATTGAAATATTTAATCAATGTTCAAATCTGTTTTATAAAACTTAAAAGAAAGTATAAAAAAAATTCCTTTTTAAAAACTTTATAATACATGTTATCTTTTTTATATCCAGTGAAAAAAATATTGTTTGAACTCTATTGCAGTCTAGAAGTCAAAAGCCTACTATTGAAACTCTGAAAATACAGTTTTTCTATCCCTAGTTAGAAGACAGAGAAGACAAATTAATATTATATTACTGTAGCGTCATGTTAAGAGGACGCCAATAACCATTGTTTTTTTTTTCGTTTTATTTGGATATGTTATATAAACATTGTCCGTTTATGATATTGTATTTCTATGTACATCTCTGATATCATTTCAGAACAGAAAAAAATTACTGAAGAGAAACTCACTAAAGTCGATGTCATACAAGAAGAAGAATCGAATGGCGTTATTGAAGTTTCCGTGCCCGAGCAGTTTTCACCGGAAAAGTAAATAAATCATTCCTTCCCGTCTATATGTCATAATATTAATTTAGAACTATTGACACATGATCCAACTAACGCATTATGTCGAACAAACACCTATAATATTGTAATATAATAATATAGGTAACTATTTTTTTAAAGTCGTCAAATATATAGATTTTAATAATCAAACAAAACGCGCGTTTGCAGATGCTTATGTATTTAAATACATGGTTAAATAATTATATCATTATAAATATTATTGACGTATAACAAAATTTGAACGATAAGAAAAAATGTTTGAAAATTGATAATCATATTAAGTTATTGCTGCATTGGTCATTGGTTGTTATGTAAATATTTTTATTATTTATCGAACCAAATTCGAACTTTCAATTTATCGATCTAATAACAGCTAGATTATTTTTGTTGAATCGATACAAGTTGTTTATCGTTTCTGCAATAGTCAATAATTTTATGAAACTGACAATGATATGTTATCGATAACTGGTTATTAATCATTTATACAACCCGGAAATAGTAACTGAAAATAATAGTTACGTATGTGTGATTTCAGAAAACCGTGTCAGAGGCACACGAGGATCCCATCAATTTCAATTGAACCCGCGAAACCACCAGACGAACCTGTGAGCTTCACGCCATCCCCGACTAGGGTATGTATTTTGTTCATTGGTTTTGGTTGAAGCTCTAAAACCTTATTCGGTACTGTATTTCCCTGTTCCAAAAAAAAAACCTGTATGGAGATACACTGATAAAAAAAAGCCCCGCGTTTTAACGTTATTTTATATAGTACCAACATATTATTTATTTTTTTTTTAATGTACCAATGTACCTACCATCAAGACCAGAATATTGAATTAATACGTTTTTGTTTTAAACGAAATTTAATAACCTTAAACAGCCGACTATTATTATAAAAAACCGTTTTTAGATTATAATTTTTAAAAGCGAAATAATATCGAGTCGTTTCTTTGAAAAACAGAAACAAAAACTTATATATAAAACTGACGACATTCGTCGGTGTATTATTATTATAAATAATATACTTTGTTATACTCGTCCAAACATGAATCCGAAGGGTAAAGTAAGAACAAACCGTAAAGAAAAAAAAAGTTTTATTTAATTTTAAGTAACAATTATAATAAAAATATAAAGATCTCATATAATACTCATACAAAATTAAATTAAATTAAGTATAAACGCCACAAGCATAACTATTTAAGTACCTAATAATATATATATATATAGGTATTTTTAGATTTTTCGTTAGCATGATTTCAATATTATCATTGTTTACAAATATAAATTAAATAACTTTACGTAAATTACCTTCCCATTCTTCCACCTACAACAATGCCACACCCATTCCCAGTATCAGTTTTTTTTTTTTTATACTTGTCATGAATCCGTCTAAATGGATATTACAAAACCACAACACATTTAGATAGCTTCTTTAGCCACGATTCGTCCTTGTCTCGTGAAATGCTTTATATATGCGACGGGTTAAGGTAAACGCATTTCACAGACACGTATTTATACTCATATATTATTACCATTGTAATACTAATACGATGAAAACGACTTTTCGTCCCAAAAACTTTGAGTGTAGTTGCAACTGCGTATATGAATTATATTATCTATATGCATAGGTACTACTCTGAGAAAATCCTCTAATAATAAAAGGTAAGTTTATATAAGAGAAAATTCATAATGTCGCAACATCTAAGAGTTTAAATTTATTTTACCGAAATTATAGGTCCGTGACAAGTGCCGACTGCTGGCGAATGACCGTTCATAAGAAAATAATTTAAGACTGACTTAGGTATATCGTCACAATGTCATCGATTTGTATAAAATATCTCGTAGATAAAAATTTTAATAACATTTTCCTGGTATTCCGCGTGTTTATGCGTGATCGAACGAATCTCTATGTGCAACAATACATAATTTAAAAATTAATACCCAATATACCACACGAAAAAATAATTTGTATTAAAATGTTTCATACCCAAGCCAGGTGTATTGCTATAATAATCCTTACATGAGAACAGTTCATAGTAGCACATCAAAAAATGTATAAGTATCCATAAAACCACATTACTTTCCTTTGTGTTTTAATTCCCCTCCCATTCTGCGTTCCATACAAGTTTGTTTCGTTTCCCAAATAATTTAATATTGCATCCATGAGTACCATACATTGGTGTATTCATCAATTGGGCTTTTTTAATTTTAATAATAATTTCTAAATCAATGTTGAGACGTTTCTTCTATATCTTTACTCTCTCGTCAATACCAGCAGTATCAACACATATCTAGAAGAATAATAATGTATAATATAGATATGTGAATATTGTATAAAATCAAAATGTGCACTATACTATAATTTTCAACAACTTACCTTTATTTTGTAATTTACAATTGGTTTTTATTTTTTTTTTTTTAGACCTAGTAGGATTATCTTTACTTCCGCTATAATCAGAAACTGAATCATCTGTAAAAACTTCACTAGGTCCTTCCGGAATTACAATATCTACACAAAATATAGGTTTGCTTATTTTGAATTCCTTTATTAGGAAAATTGATCTAATTACTCATCTAAACTCTCAACATCGAATTCGAAAATCATTTTTTCAATTGTGGAGTTTGCTAAGTTATGCATAACTTGTATCTTATTGCCTACATACATTTTTTTGTCAACTTTTGGGTTACCTTGACAAGAAATGTAAAACATAACTAATGCTACTTCTAATATCACACTCAGATTGGGTTTTTGATTTCAATGAATAATTATAAATAGTCATTTTCTGTCTACAAATTAAATTAACCTATATTTAATGCCATCAAATTTCCAAACTACTATAGTAGCCTACCAGTGGAGCTAAATACGTCCTGCTTTTTTCCTGTTATAAGTTTCTAACAATTAACAATTCACACAATTCAATATTTACATTACATTTTATAAAACATAAGCTCGAAACACGTTTATAGGTACTTCACTTTTCTATGGATATTTTAATATTATCCTTCAAAACCAAATGTTTAAATTTATATTACAAAATTCAGTAGTCTTATGTTTCAAAGTCATATTATTACAAGTGAATCAAAACGAAATATCCATTGTCAACCTGAACATATTCTGTCTACAAGCAACGAGAAATCTATACTTACGATGATATGCATTTTACATTTTTCATTTTTTTTTCTTTCTTTCGGAAAACACTTAACAGTAGCAAAGTTTCGACCTAAAAGTTTCACGTGTGAAATCTATAGAAGCAAAATTGAACACAGATGGTACACTATAAAGAGGTTGGCTTTCAAACTTCCACATAATTTAAAAACGCTTTCGGAAAACTGTGAAATAATGGTAAAACAATAAGGGGTTAACGAGTATTTAAATTAAAATATTTAATTTGTTTTAGTAGACGAGTTTAAATGAAACCAAAATAACGATGAGATCTTTACAATATACAATCTCTCTTTTGCGTTCATTATATTTGCAGCTAAATTATTAGATACACTGAAAATTGTCCATGTCATTTTACACGCATTTTATAATGCTCATACTAAAATCCAATCGTATAATGTAGATTCTGAGTGTAGTGAAGAAACTATTAGTTTTACTAATATGCGTTTTGTTTTTGTTTACCTCGGAAAACATTTACAGAAAAATTTTAAAATTTTCTCATGCCGTACTTTTAACGATACGAATAGTTATATAATTTATAAATTGTATGTAACACTTATGAACATATAACACGTATAGAGAATAAAATAAATTTGGTACCTTTTAAACTACGCGATACTGCAATAGGCACATATTATTTTAATCATATTATGTAATATGGTGCAAAATTACCAATTCATTAAATAAAACAGTTTTTGTCAGTTTTATGTAAACGAATCAACTTTATAAAATCTATCCTCCTGTAGGTACCTATAATATCATGTTATATACTGCAGATGATAAATTTTGTTTAAGAAGTCGATTCAGTTATCTAACTAATAGACCGACTATCGAACAGTGATTTAGGGCCGTTCTCACCAACGTAAAAAAAGGAGTTTATCTGATTATTAAACTGAGTTTATGGTTGATAACCGACCGCGATTAATCGATTATCTTATAATCTCGGTTTACAAATGTTTTCAATGTTTACATATGTAAGAACGGGCCTTATTCGTTCTACTGGTTCTAATTACCATTCAAAAAGGTATTAATTATTAAAATGTTCATGGGAATATCCTTTTATTTGAAACTTTGTTTAAAAAGGGAAGGATGGGGTTCCCGTTTGAAAATCAAAAGTTAATAATCATTTAAAATACTATCCAGATGGGAGTAAAAATTTGAAAATAACGTTTAAATAAAGTTTAAATAACTCTATAAATTATTGAAAAAAAAAAACAAACAAAAAAAATCGAATTTGCCGGAAAACCGTTGGAAAATTCACTGGATCACGATAAAAAAAAATTGCCCTGAATAATTTCCCTCTTATATACGACCATTATAATTTAGCCAAGTTTTTAGTCACGTGTTCGCGCAATTTTCAGCGGTGTTGACGTTGAACACGTGGAATGCGGTTCGATCGTTGTCCGTCGTTTGATTTTCATTTCCAAACACGTATACAGAAACTCGGCGGCATACGTTTCCTCGGTCGTTTTGGGACTTCGTGGAATGTGAAATTTCGTAGGCTTTCCCGTCATCGAAACTGTTAACGTTTAATCGATCAAAGCCGGTATATTTGTCTTTTGAAAATCTGTATAAATAGTTTACCGACGACTTGTAACGGTGGCAAGAGGAAAAACAAATTATTATATTCCACTATAGCTCGGTCGCAGTCCTCTGCGCATCCCTCAAGGGACCATGAGCGTTTTTTGCTCGACAAGTGCCGTTTTTACTGGGAACGTTTTAGGAGAGATAAGGGCCATTGGCTAAAAATTCTTATACTTATCAATAGTTCATAGTTTTGATTTAGATTTTAAAACAGTAGTTACATTCAATATAGCATTGAACGTAATACATACGGACAATTATTAGTTGAAAAGTTACCTAATCTTTGGATGTTGACAATAGATACCTCAACTTCCATAGACGATATTAAAACTTTAATAACTGTTTCAATAACAACAACAACAACATTATCTTCGGGAGTATTAAAAATTATAAAATGTCGTGATCTAGAAAGCCTATCATTTACTTCGTTCACATAATATATTTTATTTTGATCAAAATAGTCACTCGATTTCACTTTCTTGCGTAAATTATTTACCTCAGATTTTAATAAATCATATTCTTTTTGCAAATTACTAAATGAGATTACTAGGTTATCCAATTTACTCCTCAAATCAGTGAAGTTTTTTTCGTAGACTGTTAATTTGTTGTTTATTTTTTTCAAACCACTGTCATGTGTTTCATTAATACACTTCAGTAACTTTATAACAACATTTATTGAATGATCAATTCGTATATTAAAAGAACTTGCTGTTTTTTTTAATCGATATATCCTTTTGTTTTGACATTTCTAAAAATGTATTGAATATCACTAAATAATAATTGTTATATATATATATACGTATATACAACAAACACGGACACAAGGAAAACACGTTCGCTTACTATGAACAACTGTACTGTACTATTAACCAACATTATACAAATAATTGCCAGTTAATGAACAGAAAACCATTTATTAAGAAAATAATAAAATTACCCCCGTAGTGCACCAATTAGATAAACAAATACTACAAAAAACTTCCTATAAAGTTTATGATTAGTACAAATTGGCAGGTAGAAAATTGTTTATTAACTAAAGAAAAAAAAACAAATAATCACACATCATAGTAAAATTTGTACATTCCTAGTTTTGCTCAGAATCTAAAATAATAGGTTACTATAACTATAATTATTTAATTTATTTTTAATTAAAAGAGGTGTTATACATTATAAAAAAACATTCAGCAAATTGATACTAAGTTATGAAAGTTAAATAATTAAAAGTATCTTGTATCTTTATGTATCTATCATACTGTTATAGCATATCATTGTATATTTTCTAATTTTATAATTCCCCAACCCTTCCTATCCGAAAATTATACAGTCTTAATACGTTTTTCGTCCTTCACAGTCGTTCAGCCAGAGACGTTCCAGCGGCTGCAGTGCCACCGCATCGATGGGCCAACAACAGCCGGCGGCCAGTTGTGCGTATCGGCGACCGTCAATGCCGCAGACCAAGAGGTCGTGCCAGCAGCCGACGTTCGTGCACCAGGACGAATTGTGGCTAACGCAAACGCAACGGCACGCAAATCGGTCACCACCACCCGTCACCAGAGGCTTGCTCAACAATAACGTCGATTCGCCTACCGACGACGGTACGTATATTATGTCCACGATATTATAATAATACCTATTATGTTGGTATGCTTAGAGGCTTTCAGGATAACTCTGCGATGGCTTAGAGTTATATGTCCCTGAGGAAAACAACAAGGGACATATTATGGTCCCCTCCAAGAATTTTTTTTAGGTCACAATGATGGTTTGTTTAAAAGTTATCTATGACCCTTCTTTCGGGTTTTTCACATTTGCTAAGAAAACTCTTGGGAAAATCAAAAAATTGATCTCTCTAAAGTACATCCCTAGTAAAATATCCTTTTAGAAAAATTGCTATCATTTCAAGTTGGAGCAAAATTCCTGGTAGAAAAGTTGTCCGCAGGAAAAAAATATCGTAATATTATATTTCGTAAATATTACCGTGTATTTTGGTTTTTCACAATTGGTGAGAAAACTCCTGAGAAAATCGAAAAATGAACTGCTTAAAGTACCTTCCGACGCCGAAAAGGTGCTACACATAAAAATCCGAAAAAATATTCTGGTAAAAAGTGACGCACAGATAAAAAAAATAAAAAAATGTGTAAAACTATAAGCTTCTTCGGTCCACTCAGAATGTAAAAGCATGTAAGCGATATTATAAAAATATATTCATAAAACATTTATGGAATTCATAATCAAAACATTATTAATTAATTTATAAAAGTTTCACATGTCACACTTCGTGTTGTGTACACTCAAAAAGTGACTGCAGACTAATTATCGTTTAAAATAAATAAAAAACGTAAAAATTAATAACTGAAAATAACTAATGGATTTTCGATATTTTCGATATATCAGCCGTCCATCTGTTTTATCGCACTTTATCGAAGTCCACTATAATATTTATCATCGTAGTAATCCTGTTTCACAGTCTTATTATATTAGCACGTGTAGGCAGTTATGATTAAAATTAGCAAAAGGTACATACTTTACATGTATACCTGTACAATATTATATATCATATATACCTTTATTACCAATAGAGTATAAAGACTACAGTGTCCAAATGTGTCACAATTTGGGATATAATGGCATACGTGTTTTAGCCCTAAATTTAACAGTTGTATACTCAACAAATCTTGAAAAATCTTTATTTATATTTATTGAATAAATAATACTTTAATATTATGTCTCGAAAATAAATCTGAAAAACGCAAAATTAAAATATTATACAGAATAATATACAGCAAGAATTATCAACCTTTTGAGGTACACGGCCCCTTTCATACTATTTTATGATATCACGCGCCCCCTCATCATAATAAGATTGAATTATGTTTAATATATTCGATGCTGATTCTGCGTGGTCACAAATACGATGTTCTGTGGTGGGACAAAGCAGCCTTGTTACAAATAAGAAAAATTCTATTTTTTTCGCATTAAAAAGTTTCATAATCGTAAATTACGGAGCCGAGCAGTTTGAAAACATAGGTTTTTGATTTAACCTAACCAAACTTTTTTACCTTTTAGATTCCGAGCGTAGCGAGAGAGGTATTGAGTCTAGATTGGTTTTACAATGCTGTTTATTTCTTTTTTTCTTCGTTGTTCTACTCTGTGGGCACATTTTTTCCTAATAAACTCGCTCTGATTTTTACGTGTAACAACTTTTCTGAAAGCTCAAGTTGTCTAGATGGTACTTTACTAGCAGTAAAACGTACAATTTCACAATTTCATTATTTTATAAAAACACGGACGACGTTTTCTACCAGAAAAAAAAATATAATCGAAAAATCACAGGATACCTTTTTTGTTGCCTTTTTAATTTAATTTCTTATTGTATCATTGCAAAAACTTTTAAATCACTTTTGAGCTTTTAAGGAATTTTAATTTTTGGGAGTTTTTTGCTGTAATTCGATTATAAATAAACGTAAAGACTTAAAACTTGATAATAATACTTATATTGGACTTATCTAGACGTGGTAAAATTTCCAAAATCATCGAACGACTTTTTTTTTTTTAAAAAAAGCGTTTTGAAATTAAATTTAAATGAAAATCGCAAAAAAAAATTACGGTACTTCCTATATATAAAATTGAATTTCTTATGTTTAATTCGATCTTGATGCAAGTTTGCATACTTAGCATTCATAATACGAGGAAGGTCACTTTTCAACTCGAAATGTTTCACCTAAAGAAGGGCTGACACAGGGTTTCTGATTTCTTTAAAATTGACGAACCTTGGTGAGACGGATAAAAAAACAGTTATTATTATTTAATTTGGTTAATTACAAGGCAGAGATTAACTGTAATACAGAAAAAGGTAAGAACGGGGAAACACGTTATTTAACTCCTTTTAATTATTTCTGTTTTTGAATGAATTGAGGCCGGGAAAGTTCAGGGATAATAATTATGCTATATAATAATATTTGTATTATTCGTTATTTTTACAGAAGACGATAGTTCGTCTTCCGCGACGACGGCCAGTTCTATGCACCGTTCGGTATCGGAAAAGAGCGGATCCTGTAGCGGAGGCGTCGGCATTAGCTGTGTCGGGTCGTCGACGTCGTCCCGAAACCGTGGGCCAGGGTTGAGACGGCCATCGGCGCCGCACATGCACAGCACACCCAACGTGTACCACGGCCGACGGCGGGAATCGGGCGGCTCGGCAGGCGCTGGTTCACCGCCCAACACGACCGGTTCGCCGCCATCGCTCGGCGGTGCCGGCATGTCCCGTGTGAACACGCTGTCAGAGGGTGAGCTGCTGGACGTGGCCATACTGCCAATATTCCAAAAGCTATTGACTGAAAGGCGGGCGCACAACTCCTCGTCTTCGTCGTCGTCACATCACCACCACCAACAACAGTCGCAACAACAACACCACAACAGGGCGTCGATCGCGTCATGTCCCAACATTGCGGTCAAGTGCGACATCGTCGAATACCTCTAGTCAGTGTCCGTCGTGTTGTACTGCGGCAGCTGCGGCGACAGTGCAGACGGCTGCAGTACGACGAACACCCAGTCGAATATAACGACAAAGGTGAGATTTCAGGTTCTCCACATCATCTGTTGATGATTATACTCTATATATTTGTCGATTCTAATGTAGAATTTTCAAGAAACGAATAATAAATTCAGTAATCTAGTTATTGAGGTTAAAGTTTGTAGAAAATGTTTTGATTCCGAAATTCCTCTATTTATGTAATAAAATAATTCTGATGACAGCACTTTTAATGGGGCTAATCGAATTTGTCCACTCATACAAAGCATTATTCCTGGTGTTTCTCAACTGAATTACTTAGCACTGCAGAACACATGCACTTGATCCATTTTGTCAATGATAATAACGTTTTAGATTCTAAGTGGAGCGAAGAAGCTTAGAATGATCTTAAAAACATAGCTTTTTTTTTCTGTGGTCAACTTTTCTACCAGTAATTTTGCTTATATTTATAATAATAGCAATGTTTCTAAAAGAAAATTTGACTGGGGTACTAAGATACTTTAGAGAGGTCATTTTTCGATTTTCTGAGGAGTTTTCTCAACAAATGTGAAAAACCTAAAAAAAAAAAATGAGAAATTCGGTACATTAAATAAATATTATTAAAGGTAATATATCATGCCTTTTTAATTATTTTACAATAATATTACGCACATATTATTGACAAAGCATCACTATCAACTGAACTCCGCTCAGAATAGTTTTTTTCGTTAGAAATGGTTTATCGTTGCTTACATAATATATACATTAAATTACTTATAAGTTATAACAGTGGCTGCACTCAACCCCATTATCCTAGGACAGCTTTTTTAGTTTGTTGTACTCTTTAGTGAAATCATAACGAAATGTATCACTGGCCAAACTGTAGTTTTTGTCTAATTGTTTACTTCGAATTTCTCAAACTCCAATAAAACGTTCATTCATTTGTAAAAAATCGCCTCAATTGGTCGGTGCATTATAACGTGAAAGGATAACACGCTTTTCACTTCACCGACTTCCAATAAGGTTGTCCATTTGTGTGATGCTGTCTTTTGACATCCATACCCCTAAACCCAACCCCTATGAACATTAGCATCTATAGGTGACAATTCAGGGGGAGGGGGGAGGGCAAATAAAGTAATTCTCCAAATGTATGCTAAATGAAGGTTTAAATTTAAATTTATTACAATTATCAATTGATATTATTTTTCAAGTGCTCCGTCTCGTCCTCCCAATGGACGATGTGATTGTCACATTTCCCCATGTCCTCCCTAATTCCAAACCCAAACCTTCTTCATGGCTGGGGACTGTTACTATGGTAACTATGGTATACTGTATGCAATATAACCGCTATGAGGATGCGTGAGTAGGTTTCGGAAGTCGGTATAACGGCACGCGCAAAAGCCACACTTACATTTATTATGTATATATTTATTACAGAAGACAAATCATACTTTACGGGACCAAGAAACGACGACGTTCCAATGCCACATTCACTTGAGGCCGTTTAAATCGTATTATTATTTATTATTAATATTATTATTTTGTACAGATTAGTATCTTTTTAGAAGAGAAAATCATTACTTAAATAAGACCGTACTATATCGATTATTTTAGATATTATAACGGAAAAAAATGTTATGTAGTTCCTTAGTTTCGTTATTATTATTGTTTTTGTCAATTAAATAAATTTGTAAACTAATCGTTTTCTTGTTTTACCTAGTATTATAAATATTATTACTATTACTATTATTATTATTATTATTATTATTATTAT